CCACATCCCATCAGCAAATCGAATCTTCCCCGTCGCAAAGTCCAGGGAGATGTTGAGTTGCTGGATGATGGGTCTGCCGCACAGCATTGGAGTCTCACCAGGGACCATGAACACCTGTGCAAATCCAAATCGGCCGTTGACAAACAGCGGCATGCGGACAACCCAGCGTGACATGCTGGCCGCATCGCCTCCAAAGTGGAACTTCCTCTCGCACCTGTAGAAGAGGATCTGCTTGATTGGGAATCCCAGCTGCTCCAAGTGCTTGATGTAGCGAACCATCGGCCCATAGCCACATAGGAAAGCTGAAGCACCAGGATCAAGCAGAGCAACGTCGAGCCTCTCGGTGCCGTTCTTGTCAACGAACGTCACCATGGCATTCTCATCATGTCCATGTCGAGCCATCGACTCAGTTGCAGGCCGTTTTGAACCTTTGGATTTGATGGGGCAGTTCGCCGCAAAGTGTCCAGGTTGACCACATCGCAAGCACTGAAGCATTGCTGCAGCTTTCTGATTTGGTTGAGCCGCCTTCATGGGTGGCTTGTCGTACTTGTAGATGTTGGATTTTCCTTTCTTGCTTTTCCCTTTTCCACCACCTTTGAAAGACTTTCCCTTTGGGGATCCACCTCCTGATGACCTTGTCGGCGATGAAGTCCCGGGCGACAAGTTGCCAGCTGATGGATCTGACAGTGCCACCACCGGCAGGAAGCCGCGCGACAATTTCAAGTCGCTGAATCTCTTTCGAGCATCCAAGTAGGCTGCAAAAGCCTCATCATAGGCCTCCACGTCGAAGGACTCCACCGGCTCAGCTGCAAGTCCATCAGGGTCGTTCTGGTAGTAGCCGAACTCAGCCTCATAGTCACCAGTGTCGTCATACTCATGGTCGTAGACCTCGTCAGTGTTGAAGTCCTCCCCATAGTGCCAGTAGGCATCATCGTAGTCTTCCCAGTCCTCCATGTCATAGTCATCCTCAGCAGCATAGGCGCGTCCACCTTTTCCACGTTGCCATCGTCGGTCAGGATGTCCAAGCGTAGACTGCTTGTAGTCCTGACCCAAGATGAGGTAGAGCGCTTCTGTCACCTTCGTCAGCTCCAAAGTTGGTGCACGTAGGTTCACCAGCTGCTTTTGCTCCCGCGTCAAACCACACTGACGCAGAAGATGCCACCCCTGCACAGAGGTTGGCAGGGTGACTCCATGTTTTTCCAGCTTCTTGTTCATCTCAGAGTGACTAGTCACATAGCTGAGGAGGGTTTGTCCTTGTCGTCGTTGTAGTCCGAAGTAGCTGTCGAAGTCAGAGGGCAGCTGGACTCTGGAGTCATACTGGAAATGTCCGTCCAAGATGGCGATCACTGCTTCGAAGGACTCAGGCTTCTCCGCGCTCTCCAGGTCGAAGTCCTCCAAAAGTCTCCAGGCCGTTCCAGTCAAGCTACCGATGATATTCAGCAAAGATTCACCAGCTCGCTTTGTGAGGGTCATCTTGCGGTGGTAGATACGAATTCTCTTCCTCCACTCCTTGTAGTCTGCGGGTTGCCCGGTGAAGAGTGGGATGAAACTATCTCTGGTTGAAACGTCAGAGATTGGAGATGAAGATGCCGATGCCATTCTTCAAAAAGTCCAAGGTGATCTGGATGTAGCACGAGCCAGCCGCGGCAATCAAGTCAAAGAAGTAGGGCTCGGCCGTCAGATCTCAACGTAGAGCTCTGCAAACAGGATGCAGTAGGGCTCCACCAGGCCACAGAAAGTGGCTCCGCTACCAATGTAAGATCGGCAGTGCAAACACCAATCTGAGAGCTCAGCACACGAAGTCCAAGCTCGGCAAGAGCAAGCAGCGCCCCTTTTCAGAGGCTATGGCGTAGCCAGGTCTGACTAGTCAGTACCCACCCTTTGTGGGATTTGTATGGGGCAATTGGGGCCGATATGGCCATATGAAAGAAACATGGTTGGATGTTCCCTGTTGCACGGCGTGCAATTCACATCCATAATATATGGGATAATCCTTCCCATTGACAAATATTTTTCAAGATGGTGATTGCACCACCAAGCAGGTGTGTATTGCTTCAAGGTTTACTGGTGACGTTCTGGCATGTTCCTGACGCCGGTGCTGACTGTAGGCGGAGTGGGATGACATAGCGCTACAGCCAAAAAAGGTGAAGACGCTTTGACTTAGTCAATTCTTTTTTGGTCTTCGCGTTTTGTTGGTCTAATTTCCCTTTCCAAGTGACTGGGATTGTCATGCAAGTTCCTTTGATCTGGTTTAAGGGGGGCAAATTTGCAGGAAATCCTGTTCTCTTGGATCAAGGTCCATGGGTTGCCCGCAAACAGGAATTCCGCCCAACACGAACCCCCAAATCTGAAGCTCAACCGTTCAATCATGAGTTGGCTTTGACAAAACTGACTAGGGGACACGCCAAAAAAGCGCTGTAAAAAGAGGGAGAAGGAAGATCGGACCTTAGTCAGATCCATTCAACAATTTTTGTTTTTGTGTTTCTTACATTTTATTTTCGGTGATGAATCCCCATTTTCCTGCCTACAGGTGATAGATGGTGATAGACTAAAGCCACATGAGCAGTGGCTGCTAAACCCTGTTGATTGCTGACTATATGGGGTTATACGCTCCAAAACTTTGGGCTTAGTACAATCCATGGACTGGGAATCCCTATGAAACAACCAGTATTTCATGGAATGAGGTTGCGGGTTTAGCAGCCACTGCTCACATGAAGATACGTTTCATCCCTGGCCCGCTGGTTGTTGGTGGGTTTTTCGTTTCTGAGGTGTGATGAAGCGCGGGTCTCATTTGAACACGTCTGCAGAGAGCCGGGGGAGTTGAGGGGAAGCTGAGTAAAGCTTGGAAAGTTTCGTCAATTCTCGGCGGAGTGGACCATCCATTGGTCAATAGGCTAAAGCTTGATGGTAAATCCTGGGCTAAACCTCTTTAATGTGATTAAAACCATGTCATAAACCGTAACCATACCATTCCCAAATTCACCATGGATGGGATTCAAACCATCAAACGGGTTCAGTTTTGGCAGTGAAACCGCGCAGCTTCACTGGTCAAAGAGTAAAGCGACTGATGAAGGATAAGTGAACGTATTCTATTCTTTGTATATTCTTTTTTTTTTGCATGTATATTTGTATAGTTTTGGCAATATATATATATATTAATATACGTATATATATATATTATAATATATATAGCTGAGGAATTCACTGCAATGATGGTGATATGGCATGATAAAGCCCGAAACAACTGGGATAATGATTGGTTTGAGTTCAATGATTCCAAATTTCTTATATACATATATACATATATCCATCTGAAACAATTTTTTCACCCAAACGCGACTAATCTCTGTGACTGGAGGTAGCTGTAGTTAAAACAGGAAGAGTATATATATATATATATACGCAGATATCATCGCACTGGAGTAGATAGAATATCCAAGCGTTTCATTTTTTTGGATGACAATTTCCTGGGCCGGAATTGGCCATACTCTACACTGTATTTGATTCAGCACTGATGAATTTCCTATGAAACGTCGCATGGCCCAATTTTTTTAAATGATGCAGTAGATATGTTTTCTCTTATGATTTCTAGGTTTCTAACTCTTCTGTCTATTTGTTGGCTTGGCATAGAAGGGTAACATCCGACATTATTGTTCGTTGTGCCCCCTATGGACATCTGCAGATATGAATCGGAGATCCAGATGGACGTAGGCTGTGAACCTTCAGCCACGTAGCATTGGATTGGACCTTTCCTCTCACGTGAGTGAATCTGTGAAACTGACATGTTGAGAAGATACTGTTTTTTTTAAAGATGATTTTAGGTCAATTGAAAATCATGCATACAGAAAAAGCTTTCAGTAACGAGCCGACAATTCTTTTGTTGTTGCAATGAGAGACCAGTGATGCAGTTTTGGCACCTCTCAGCAAGTGCTCCAGCTAGGAGAGGAGGCGGAAAAAACACATATTGAAACATGTCCGACTTGATGGATGACTTCTTTTTTTGGGGATGGTTCAAAACCAATCATCGCATTCTTTTTTCGGATTTTGAGATTCATATCATCCATAACATCCATTCAGAAATATCATCCATGAATCGTTAAATTATGGGCACGGTGATCTGTGGTGTATCCATGAATTTAAGCCACAGATGGGGTTTTCCATAAATGGTGATACCCCAATAAGTGGTTGATTTATAATGGAAATCTGTAAAATGGATGAGAACTGGGGGTACCCCTAGTTTAGGAATTTTACATATAACCCATATGAAAAATCCCATATTTTTAAGGATATTCCATGATATTCCATTCATCCAACTGGGGCTAGAAAAATCACCCATATTTCATCCATTAGTATCATCCGGTGGGGATGTATCCCATTAATCTAACTGGGGGTAGAATTTAAGCCATTTACTGATAGGATGCACTTTCAAGTACTGCTGGAACTCCAATCAAACGACCTGATAAGCCTTGACATCAAAGGAAGAACGCGCTGATAGCTTTTTTTTCCTGGCTGGAAATTGGGGCAAATGTCCTGCATAGGTCTGACATTTATCCAACTTTCATCTCAAAAATTTTGGGCTTTCCGAAAATGGGGTTACCTCCAAATAATCCATTTCAATAGGATGTTCCATTATAAACCATCCATTTTCGGTTACCCCCATTTATGGCAACTCTGATATTTGGTCTCAGAAAGAGCGCCCCATTCTCGACGTCGTGCGCTGAGCTGTGTTTTTATGTGGATCAAACTCATGGATTTTACGGAACAGCTGAACAGCCACAGGGATGATAGCTTCAAATTGAGCTTCCTTAAGGTGCACCCAACGGTATAAAGTTACCCAGAGGGAAGACGATGTGCATAGCAGAGTGGTTTTGTGAAGAGTTAGTAAGTGACCGCAATGCCCAAAAAATACAGCAGTACCTTGACAGATCTGCATAGCCTGTGGAAGCATCCAAAGGATTCACAGGCATCAAGTGTGATTCTTTCCCATAGCGTGATTGGCCATGACAAGGCCCGGGCCCCAAGTCATCTGAACAGCCAAACCTTTGTTGATTGGTTATTGGGGGCTTATGCTACTTTTTTTGTTGATTCAAATGATATCCGATTGACTTATCCCCACTAACCGTTGTATATAACGGGACGGTTTTTCGGCGGTTTTTGGGTGAATTTTTCTTGGCTCATGTTCATTTCAGCCGATTGATAGTGGATTATAGATTGATTTTTAGCATCCCCAACCTTGGATGGAGAGTTGAATCCGAGAGTGTTTTTTGCTATGGTGATGGAAAATCACCAGCCAAGCAGCGAAAGAATTTTGCATGGAATTTTCCATGGTTGTCAAAGATTGACCATGATAGTAATTATATGAGACAAAAATGACCATAAAATGCTCGGCATTTTTTTTTTCTGTTTCCAGTTGATGGTTTCCAAAGATCTCCAGTTGACCATCTGGAGCCGCTGATCGGCCGTTTGCGGGATGAAGTCTACCATGGTTCCCCAGTTATGGTTGGTGACTGTGATGCCTGTGATGCTTTTGGTTTACCAACAGTGGATCAGTTCACCCCAGGGTAGGCTTAGCGAAGTTAGTTGGTCTGAACTAAGCCAAAACGGGGCTGCGGTTGAGCAGCAACTATATCCGTATGGTAGCCGTAACCCCAAAGCCATAGAATTGCATTTCCTACTAGAATAGTGATTATATAATCCAACCTTTTTATATCTCTTGGGGATTGCGAGGTGAGACTCCCTAGCTAAGTCGACGCACAGTTCACTTGGTTAACTATGGTTTATGGAAAATATAACTAGTATAAGTTAGTTGATAACCCCCATCAACTATAGTTATATCATATATCTAACTATGGTTGTTAACTATGGTCTATAACTCAATTTTTGATGGGCTTTATACACCAACAAACATCACTGGGGGGTCCTCAGCTTGCTGCCGCAGCCTCCAGGTCGAATGGCGGAGAGGATGTAGACGAAGAGGACATCGACTGGGGATTTCTGGGGTTTTCTCTGAAGATCGAGGGGAAAATACCCCGAAACATCCATCAAAGTTGCCAGTTTTAGGGGGGGATACCGCATTTTCAGACATACTCCGGGTATTCTCCGGGTCATTTGGTAGATATTTCTGGGCATAACCAGTGTAGATGAGGCTGGGATCCAGCAAGAATACCCTCAAGCATTTCATAAGATGGCGTGCTGGAACATCCGAAATGTCAACCATGTTCTGCAAGAGAAACACATCGAATATGAGCATTTTCAACTGGCATTGAAGCTGATGAGGTCCTCTAGATACACATGTGGCCTCAATATGCCTCAATGACGTGGAAGCTGATCTGGGCCATGTCACCCCTCCCAGAAAAGTTGGTGTCATGCGGTGAATCTGCTCATGGATCTCATGGGAGCTCATCAGGACGGGGCTAGTTGGAGCATCACCCCAAAAAGTTGCAGTTCTTGAGTATCAGAGAGGGATAGGGGGGTGATGATCGGGTACACACTCATGTCAAACCAGCTGAAAGCCGCAAAACCCCAAGGCCTGAAAAAAGGAGTGGTCCCTGACTCTCTTCTTAGGGTTTGGTGGATTTTGGGACCTGTTGGTGAGACATTTTCAAGCGGAAACTGGAGGACCTGATTCCTGACAACTGGTTCATCAGGCCGCAAGGGTCGGGTCAGAAGGGTCAGGTCAGCGCAAGCACTGGGGACTCAACAAGACATGACCAAAATTTGGGGCAACCCAGCTAATCCCAGGCAAGATCAAAATGGAAGTATCAGGACTGATTTTGGGTAACTTTCTTTAGTATTCACTATCAGTTTTTGAGAGCCCCAAAAGGATATTTCTCATACTCGGCTTTTCTCAGGTAGTCTAAATGATGAGTCTCCCCCCAGCTACATATATATATATATACATATACATATACAAATATAATCAAATATTTGTGAGTTTGTTGGTTTTTTCTCAGACCTGTTTCACCCCTGAGGCTGGTGCACATCATTGCGTGGCTGCTGACGGTGGTCCTATCAGTAGCTCCGATGGAAGGGGATGCGATGGGCAAAAAGTTGGGTCAGAAAAAAGGAAGTTTGCTGGCAATTTTTCATGTTTCATTTTTCATGTTTCATCTGTTTCATCTGTTTCATCTGTTTATCTGTTTATCTGTTTCATGCCCATTTTGCTAAGGTGTGACGTGTTTTTTGTTGCTCGTGAAGCTCCCTTTGGTTTTCCATTGGTTAAACTCGGTCTGTCACCATCCAAATCCATTGACGGGACGACTTGAGCTCCACATTTGTCCGGCACCTTGGGTGTTGAGAAGTGACTGATCACGCTCTGTGGAAAGGATCACTATCTGGGTATGGATCAATACCTATTAATACCATTTTTAGGGGGATGAACATCCATTTACCAGCTATTTTGATGTTCACCAGGGGTACAAGGTTTTGACACATTGCCATCTATCATCAAAGATTTGGCTATTTCAAAGATTTTTCAATATCAGTTTCAGCGTTTCACCTTTGGGCGAAGGATTACCGCCCATAAAAAATGGCTCATGTTTCTAGCGAACGAAACCAACTTTGGACGCGAACGAAACGCAGGTCCTAAGTTGCGTCTTTATTGGCTACCAGCTGTATGTCTTGCGCCTTGGACATGATCCGTGAGACCCGTGGGAGCCCGGGTAGAATGACTGCTTTCCAGAGGTGAAAAATGATGGTGTTTTATACATGTTTTATACATTTTATACCATCCAAAGATGGCGTTTGAGATGTTTAATTGACAAAAAAAACGATTATGGGTGTATGACCACAATTACAGATGAGCATACGAGGATGGCCATAAAGTTGCACCAAAGTGGAGACAGCAATAGATTGGTCAGGAAGCCAGACTTGACCCAGACAGAGGCCACTGGCCACATCAAATAATGGTGATTCAGGAAAAGTTTGGTTCAAAAAATCAACCAACAAAAAAGTGGCTTTCCAGCATCTTGGGATATTTTTTGGCAACTTTTGGTGGCTTTCCCAAGTATGCCCAATGTTGGAAAAGACATGCAAAGTGCATCAAAGTGCAACAACCGTTTGGGAAGATCCCCAGAAAACGACCGAAAACCATCGAAGAATGGGAACAAACCGAACAAACCGAACAAACCGCCACGGAGCTTGGTGATATCCGGGATATCTCATCAAAACACGCTGAAAACACATGTTTTTGGCTGGTTTTTTGGGTCAATTCCTGAAAATGTCCCCATTTGGTTTCCTTGTTTTCACAGCCCAAGTTGCTTGGTGAGTGCCTCTCAGTGGCCTGCTGGTGGCCTGGTGCACGAAAGGTATATACCTTACAGTCGTGCGAAGATGATGGGTGATGCATCCTACCGCTTTCCGGAGTACTTCTACAGGCGCTGGGAACTGGGAAGTTGGGCAGGATGTGGTGATTCGGATTGGGACAGATTCGGACGGATTCGGACTGATGGGTTCTGAGAATGCGGGACCTCAAAGGCAACTTGGATCATCACCTCATAGGAATCCTTGGGGAACTGGCATCATCATCTCATGCGCTCACCTTGTGCAAAGCCTTTTCGATTTGAGTAGCAAAAGAACGCCATCCGCCATGATGTTTGTTGATGGATGAACCGACCCAAGAAATGACATTCAGGCGATTTCACAATAGAAATGGGTTGATGATCCCCAATGACTCTCGGGTATTTGTCACCGGGCTGGCTCGACCACCAAGCAGTTGTCAGTCATATGCCCAATAATTGTCCATCCTTATATGATATTTCCATCAAATATTTCCACTAGATATTTCTATGATACATTTCCATTATCATACTTGGTGGCCACTGAACATTGAGAAACCCATGATAGGCTGAAGATCCATGCAAAATTATATTCTATTTCCATCATATATGTCCATTATATGCCCATTATATTCCCATTGTACCATCTTTAAGTGGGAGATTGGTGCCAGATTTCGGGCGAAGATGGCAGGGTGTGGGGCAATGATGCCACAGATCTCACGTCGGAGCACTGGGGCTACCTGAGCGCCTGCGCGGGGGTGACGTTTTTGAGCATCCGGTGCCCCGGGGTTCTTGGGAAAACCAATGGAAAAGGTTTAGCCCCTGGGGTGAGGTGAAATTTCCGCATTTTGACCTGAACATCTGGGAAAAAGGTTTGGAAAAGCTCGAAAAATCCATTGGTTTTCTTCCCTGTTCTTTGATTTGCTATTTGAACATGCCTTCTTTAAACAGCCCTTTGGCCTTGGGATGCTCTTGGCTGCAGGGAAGATGATGATGTCAAGAAGTGCTTCATGTCAGGCTGAGATAGTGAGATAGCTTGAACAGCACAAAAAAAAGCCACACACAAAATAAACAAGTATAATAAAGCATAATCAAGTATCATAAAGCATAGCAAAGTATAATAACCGTCAGCCTTTTCTGACCCGCGACAGGCTAAAATATATATCTTGACCAACACTTTCACCAAGATGTTCAACTAGAATCATCACTCATGATCACCGAAATAAAAACATGTGCGCAAAGAACTATCCAACAACCAAAAAAAACAAAAAAATCACGTCTTCAACCCTGGATAGGAAAAAACCCGTCGCTGTCTTATCAGCACAGGACGTTCGTAGCTCCTCAATTTTCGGCCATGGACGTCGCGGCAGCACCGCAACGGCCCTTGCCCTGCCGTGCGCGCGTGCCATCGCGACATGGGCCCGCCTTGAGACCGGTGCCGGGAGACAAAAGTCTCACCGGACAGTGCCGTGGCAGGAGGTTTGACGTTGGTTGAGTCAAAAAGGGGTTTGTAGCTGGTTGTAGAGTTTGTAGAGTATCTTGGCTTTGTCATGTTTTATCATCATGGTTTTTACATGCTAAGTGGGACGAACTTCCAATTGGTTTATGGGTGTTCTTTCACCATTGGAATCCCGTTCTCAAGCAGTATCAAGAGATGACAGAGGCTTTTGAGCACTGCCCAAGATGAGTTTTTGGAGGCCAAATACTGCAAGGTGGTGCCCCATAGTTACAGCTAACAGGTAGCAAAGTCGGTTGAGAACTTATACAACTGCGGCTTCTGGTACAGATATATATGATATACAACTAGTTAACGGGGTGAATCTAAACCAACAAACATCTGCCTTGGGGCACCGCTATGGCGACCTCACTATGGTTTGGCACATGGCAAATGTACATCCAGTGGTTGCGAGAATTCTATAAATGGTTTAAGTGTGATACATCACAGATATCTAAATCGACCAACTTCTGACATTCGGTAAATCTGAATGTTTGCTTCTTAAATTCCCATTTCTGTTGCTTTAAACTTGTAACTTCCTAAAGTTTGCTGACTAAACTCAGAATCCTTACTTTCTCTTCACGTTTCTGCTGCTTCAACTTTATGGCCAAAATCCACATTCTGCCTGCTTAACATCCCAAATGTAGCCCGAAATCCAAGTTCTGAGTTCTCAACTTTTTCAATTCCCTGTGAAATCCTCATGTTTTACTGCTGAACTCCCAAGTCTGGTCACATTTTTTCTCCTTTCCCCCACAGGTCGCGCGGCTGGAGCTCAGTTTTCGCCGCGGCCTTCGCCCTCCGCGCCGTCGGTCGCGTGTCGAGCCGCGTCACGCTGCGGCGGAGCTCGTCGGATGCGCCGGTGCCGCCGCGGCTAGGTCTGAAGGTGTGGTGCCGGGCAGCCTGGTTCCGCGGTGTTGATTTTTCAGTTCTCTTGGATTTCCAGCTGTTGATCGTTTTCTCGACATATCCAGTATTGGATAATTGATGATAATTGGATATAGAGTTGGATTTCATTTTTCTATTATTTCAACATATTTCAACTGGCTAACTTGGGTCCCTCGTTTTGAAAGAGGAGGTGAATCATGAGCTGTTTTTTTAACGGGCCAACAGGTGAGGTCTTTGTGGGTTTCCATAGCCATGGGGCTATCCAAAAATGGTTGGTTTGTGGTAAATCCCATCTTTAAATGGATGAGAACTGGGGGTACTCCTGTTCCGGAAACCACCGTTTGGATCTATTCCGTATAGCTTTATATACCTCTATATACCTTTATATTATGGGATGATAATTCAGACCTTCAAATGGTTGATGTTCATGGGATTTACCATCCCCTTTATTGAAGATTTACGACTTTGTTTTTCAACACCTTGAAATATCCCAACCAGCCATTTCCAGATCGTCGACACCGACGGCAGGCCCTGTATTCGTTGTTGACCTTCTCGTGGGTCTCGGACTTGATGAGGAGGGGAAATCGACCTCCAGCCATCGAGATCCACGACTTGTTGCCTTGCTGCGTGAATGATGATGCTTACTAACCTTCTGGAAAACGGCCCATCTATAGATATCTATAGATATCTATAGACCTATTTGATCCGATGGGAAAAACCATGTTATACCATGTTAAAATCGTGATTTTACATGAAAGATATGTTTGTTTACTAGAGGGTATACAATCGCCCAGCGATCACGAATTTTCGTGGATGCTGGCCACAGCACCGTATGGATTTTTTTTTTCCCACCACACTACAGGAACCACAGCCATGGTTGGCCGCCAGCTTATTTGTTCTGTTTTAGCCGTAGCCGTGCTTAAATCTGCTTGTAATTTTATCATTTGATTATATAATTATATATACTCGTATACATATATATATATAAATATACATATATACATATGTTTTGGGACCCCAAACTACCAGACATAGACCAAAATTCTTCCTTTTAGTATGATAGGCTTCAGATTTCCAACATGACCTTTTGGTTTTCCACTGGAAAAGCAATGATGAACATTGGTTGGACATGGAATTCAGCCGCCTAAAGGCTTTATCCCTGTGTCCCGCACATCGAAAGTTGTTGGATCCCACGATTCCCAAAATGTCAGCTGAATCATACATTTTTGTTGGATGCCAAAGCTTGATTGAATGCCAATTTTCAGCCCATGATCAGTTGGCGCTCACCAAAGCTTTGAAATCCGAAGGTTGGCTCAATCCCGTGATTTCCCTTCAACCCAATGCAAAATACCCCACTGTATAATGATATATATATAATGATATATATAATGATATATATAATGATATATATAATGATATATATATATATATTTATTGATTTTTGGGACCCACATTGATGTTTTTGCGGGGATGAAATCATATGTGAATGATCTACAACTGTGATCATTGATTATGGCACAAAAAAGTTCTGGAGGATGAATTTTCACCAGTCCGATGCGCCTTCAAAGGTTCTGTTCAAAATGGCTTGTTGAACCTCTGTTGTTTTGGTAGAACGGCAACATCAAGGATCTGAACCAACCAAAAAACCCTGGGATGCACCAGATTTTTGATACTTTTCATTGGTGATTTCCCTATATGTCCCTATGTCTATTTTGTTGGTTACTTCCAATTTTTTATTTATTAAATTCGAACTTTTTCGCTGGTCAAATCCCCATTTCAACATGTCCAAGTAGGGCGAAATCCATCCAACTTAGTCCTTTCAGATTCTAGCTTCTATACTATATTTTTCGCGGTTTAGTTGTGATTTTGCTATTAATGTGGTTAAAACAAACAATAATAAACCAGCCCTCAGTCATCACCCTTTTTTATGGGTGGTATGTTTACCATTAGCCATTCCCAGTCATGGGTGGTAAAAATGGCATTGTTTTACCAACATGAATAATCATCAACCACTAGTTATTGCCATCATTTAACATCATTATCAATTACCCTCCGGTAATTTAACATAGCTATTAAAAATTGCCATAGAAATAGTGGATTTACCCATGAAAAATGGTGATTTTCCAGTTCGCTACGTTAGTTTACCAGAGGGTATAACCATGACCATTACCATCTATAGTTAGCTTCATCTATAGTTTATTACCATTTTTATAGGTGGTATAACATGGTATATACTAACTATATCTAATAATGAACATAATGGTAACTATATCTAACCATATAGGGACATATATTATAACTAATCATTATAATGGTGGTATAACATGGTAATAATATAATGAACATCATTACCATCTATAGATCCCCTCGCCTCGCCAGGTTCCCCGCCCCCAGCGACATGTTGGCCTCCGACCTGGCCCTGGAGCTCTCGACCAGTCTGATCCAACGGGAGTGGCGCGCACGGAACGATGCACGGAACGATGGACGGATGGGGACGGGGAAGCCACGATGGACGTTGAAGGCCGTTTAAACGTGTTTAAACGGACCTGATTGGATGGGGATGGGGAGAAAATGAGGGAGACAATTCAGGATTTCAGATGATTTTAAGCATCATACAGTGCGGAGGCCCGCAGTGATTTAGTTCAATGGTCAGTTCAGCCAGTTGTACATGGGATAATATACGGATGCACATCCAAGCACGGGAAGTTCAGCAACACCCAGAATAGTGAGAAAACAGAGGTGAGTAAAACCAGCGCAAAGAGTTTTTTTTTTTTCGCACTAGCCTTATTCTAGAGGAATGGAATACCCCAGATGGTACAGTATGTTGTAACAGTTTTCGAAGTGGAAAATGGATGATTCAATGGCTATAACTCCATTTCGAACCATATGAGTGGGGATACCCTCTGGTAAACTAACATAACTATGGAAAATCTCCATTTTCAATGGGAAAATCCACTGTAAATGGTAATTTTCAATAGCTATGTAACAAATTACCAGAGGGTACTCCAAAATGGCGAATCCTTAAGTGCCATTCGGGCACTTTCCCAACTGGAGAATCACCATTTTTCATTGGCAAATCATTCGTCCCGAAACGGGATGTGTTTTGGGCGGACATGTCTTATCATGTCAACCCTGGATTAATAAACCCAAACGGTTGTAGAATTGGGGGGATACCATTTTTGGGTCTCATATTGTGACTATTTGGAGGGTACCCCCACAATTAATAAACCATGGTTTATTAATCCGGGGTTAACATTACACACTTGACAAAGATGTACATAGTTGTAGTTAGACATGAAGTAACCCTCAAAAAGAAAGACAAGTCAAATCCCATTCTAAAATAGTGATAAATGTCTTTTCTGTCATTTTGGGGGGTTGCTTTGGATAATATCTAGACCTCACATCGCGACTTGGAATGATGACAAAGATTCTGGTAATCATCCCCATAGCTGACCGTATACTTACGGTTCACCCGTGGCTTTGGGGATCCAATTTACAATTTAAGAAACCCCATTTTACTGTGGATGCCAAAAACTGGTTGGTGGTTTGGAATATTATATATTTTTCCATATATTGGGAATAATCATCCCAACTGACTAATATTTTTCAGAGGGGTTGAAGCCACCAACCAGTGTATATCAGCTCCCTGCCAGGACATCATGAACCCCTAGACCATCGGAGCTTAGCGAAATCTCTTCTCTGGCTGCACCGCGGGCGCTTGCTGCGAACCGGCATCTTGCGATTTCTAAACACCGTGGTGCAGTTTCTGCCTGCTTTGATTCTTGGGTGCAGTTCATAAATATGCATGTGCATATATACATATGTATGTAGATCAAAAACATGCGCACACACACACACACGCAGATATGTATGTATGTATATATATATATACCATAATTGATCCCTACACATATGCAAATAAATTCCAAAATCTCCATGCAGCTGAGCATTTGGTTTTTTATTCAATTTTGTTTTGCGACTCCTTCAGAACCTGTCTTAACTCCAAGGATTCTTGGGCCCTTGTTGAATGCCATCAAACTTGGCGACATCTCAGCCGGACAACAAGCTGCCTTACAGCTCTTCGTGGTGCTCTGCATCAAGACATTTGTGGAAAATCAGGCGTTGATGTTGTAAACGAAAGCAGTGCTAAGCTGCAAAGCGTTGCCACTATATTGGGGGGAACATATCACTGGTTGGTGGTTTCAAACATTTTTTATTTTCCATAATATATGGGATAATCCTTCCCATTGACTTTCATGTTTTTCAAGATGGTTAAAACCACCAACCAGATCAAGTGCTTTTTCCTCCAAAAAATCGTTTTTTTTTAAATAATAGATTGGGTGGCCAAGGAGCAACCCCCATGGAGATCTCCTCACGAATTCATCATCTCTGAATCCCCAAAATTTTCTGTCCTTCATCACCAAAATCACCATGAATCCCCACGAAATCATGCCCATGAAGATTAATGGTGATTTTGGTGGTGAAGGTGATTTTATCAGTTTTGGAACAACCCTGTCAGTTCTTCTACCAGACCACGATGATGGCCACCCGTGTGCGCTCCATGCTTCAAGCCTGCATCTACGAGAAGAGTTTGCGCTTGCACGATGCAAGTGCCAATGTACCTCCGGTGACGCTCATGCAGGTGGATACGGGGAAAGTGGAGGACTTGACGTATTCGCTTCATACACTCTGGGATGGTATCTGATTTTACTGCTTTCGGTCAAATTTTCTTGATCTTGCAGCCCCAAACACGTTTTTTTTTTTTTTTCTCCCTCTTTTTTTTATACAATCCACTTTTCAGAAAGATAAAGATGAATGATCCCAACCTCACCAGCATATTTCATCACTGCGCAACAAAAGATCTGTAGCCAGCTGAGGTATCTTTCAAGTGGCAGGATATTCGGTGCTTCTCTGGTGGTACCTGGGTGTGGCTGGCTTCGCAGGGATTGTGGTTTTGCTGATCGGGCTGCCCTTTAACGCTCGACTGCAACGAGACCTCAGCGGTTTGAACAAGACACTGGGTGGAGGGATCAACCAGCTGGAACATGCTGGGCTGCTGGGCCCCCCAAACATGGGTTGATTTGGTATAGATCTATGTGGAGTAGACTAATAGTAGACAAACTTTAAGTTGATTTGATGATTTAAGATATTATATATTTGTTCATTGGTTATTACAGCCCAGTTCATTTAAATGATCATTGGATATCCTGGGCATCTCTGCAGATTTTCTGCAGATCCCCGTTGCTCCACAGGTGAACTATGTGTTTTTATTTTCGTATCCCAAGATGGGAGGTTAATTGGGAAAAATGCAATGCTTATGTGTAGCATTCAATATATCTCAATATACAATATCTATATATATATAAATATACCACAATATTTGTTGCATTCAAATTGCCATAAAATCTGGAATATCCCCTGGTTTTTCAGGACAAAGCTGTTTTTAACCCCAAGATTGTTGCGAAAAAATCCCATTGAATCCCACAATATGCCTACAAACTGGTTGGTCAGCCCCCAATGAGTGGGCCCAAAATTGGCATATCACCCCATTGCTGGGTTTTTTCTTCCAAGTCGTCCAGCTTGGAGAGGAAATGCTTGCAGACCAGCGATGCGCGTGTCTCCAAGACTTCTGAGATCCTCGGAGGCATTCGCGCCTTGCGCCAGATGGGATGGGAAGACATCTTCGACGCTCGCGTGCGAAAGCTTCGGGATGAGGCGACCGGGCGATATTTCGGGACAATGACAAGGCTGGCTGCCATAAAGCTACCATGTCTGGGCATGGTTTATACCATCCATTTATGGTGATTTTGGGGATGGTTTATTAAATTGGGTTTACCACATCATCAATAATAGAACCAACAATGCAGAAATATCATGGTGATACGGTGATACCATCGGATATTTCATGGGATAGATAGCCACAAGGTGGTGTGCCAGTGAACGGAATCGCAACAAGTTGGGTGTGGAATATTTTTCCTGTGGGGTTTATGGTGATGAGACAACTTTATAGTTCGATAGAGGACCTACTTTAAGGACCACCCCGCGAGTTTCGCCGCTGGTTGTCGTGTTTGTGGGCTTATCCCGCCGGGATAAAGCAGTTCGGGCACTTGTTGGCCAGGACTACTGACAAGATTGACACGTCTCCAAGTGAAAGCGGGCTGCAAAGTCAATGATAAACCTGCAAATGGGGGATTTCATCTGTTTTAATGACCCCAAGATACGCCCCAAGTGTTTCTGGAAACCGGGGAAGGTTTTTCATTCTTGAATTCAGCAGATGACCACTTTGAAAATTGATCCGATTGAACAATGTGATAGTGTAAACCCAAGAAAAGACCTTCAAGTTGAATATTATATGAATATTGGTAAACCTGGGTAGATTAGGGAAGTTTTCTTATTGGTTTTACCATGTTACCTGTTGGTTTAGCCATAAGATTGGTCAGTTTTGGCATTCAGCGGTGGATGATGCGGAACCTAAATGTGTTCTAAGCCTATCTTGAATGGGGATGTTTTAAGCGACAAATTTGCGGAAGTATGAACCTTGAAAGTCAGGATAACTATATAATTATATAATAATATAAATATATAACTAAACTTAACTAATTAATCAATTATATATATATATACGTAGATACGTATAGATTATATAATTCTATAACATATCCACACTTGACATTTGCTGTTAAGGATCGCCATCTTCATAGCAATATCATTCCTACACCTTAAATGAGGATCCCAATGGTGAAAACTGCCATGGTGAATTTTTCTCGCAGGAGCTGGCGGCGCAGAGGAAGAGGGACACCGTGGTGGCGTACCTCTTGTCGCTTGGCGATACCATCTGGCTGCACCCCTGTCTTCGCATCACTGCACCGACCCCAAATGAAAGTTTTTGTGTACATTGTGTACATTTAAGCCACGCGAAAAGTTTGTCTTTATTCAAAATCAACACCCTTGTGGTGCTCCCAGTTATAACTTGGTATATTGTCCCAAGCAACTAGTTCGAGATATCTACCACAACCCCAAGATCATCATTCCTGAACTAAACCAACTTCGCGATTTATATCAATATTATTTCCCCACCTGCCAGGTGAGGGTTGTTAGATTTTATGTCAGTTGCCTCCTCCTCCTCCTCCTGCTCCTCCTGCTCCTCCTCCTCCTGCTCCTCCTCCTCCTCTCCTCCTCCTCCTCCTCGTCCTCCTCGTCGTCCTCGTCGTCCTCGTCGTCCTCGTCGTCCTTGCTCAACTGCGACCCGCGATCCACAGTGTTCTCTGCCGGACCTCAACCACGACCATCCACGCCCAGTGTTCCCTGCCGGACCTCAACCACGACCATCCTCGCCCAGTGTTCCCTGCCGGACCTCAACCACGACCATCCACGCCCAGTGTTCCCTGCCGGACCTCAACCGCGAGTATCCACGCCAAGTGTTCCCTGCCGGACCTCATGTAGGAAGATATGGGACAAAGAATGTGCAGAAGAAAGTTAGAAAGAATGTCAGAAGAATCAGAAGATATGCCAGAAGATATGCCAGATAGAATGCCAGATAATATGCCAGAAGATAGAATGCCAGATAGAATGCCAGAAGATTTGCCAGATAGAATGCCAGAAAATATGCCAGAAGATATGCCAGATAGATATGCCAGAAGATATGCCAGAAGATATATATGCCAGAAGATATGTCAGATAGAATGCCAGAAGATATGTCAGAATATATGCCAGAAGATATGCCAGATAGAATGCCAGAAGATATGTCAGATAGAGTGCCAGAAGATATGCCAGATAGAATGCCAGAAGATTTGCCAGATAGAATGCCAGAAGATATGCCAGAAGATATGCCAGATCATATGCCAGAAGATATGCCAGATAGAATGCCAAATAGAATGTCAGAAGATATGTCAGATAGAATGCCAGAAGATTTGCCAGTAAGAAAATGTATAAATGTCATGGTGGGGATCACACGAAGTAAAGTAATTTTATCACATCTCAATCCCCATAGAAAAAAATGCCCTCATTTTGGTCGAATCCCAACATCGGTGACCAGCACCGGTCCGCAGGTCCTACTTCAGCGCCCTGCCACCCTTCATGATCGCCGTGGTCCTCCCCGTCTACGTGGCCGGCTGTCCGGAGAGCTTCAGTGCTGCGATGATTTTTACGGCGCTGTCCTTGCTGAATCAGATCCGATTCCCCTTGCTCTTCTATCCCAATGCACCTTGGACATTACAGCCGATGTTTTGGGATCTGTGAAAAAAAACCGATTGATTTCCAAAAACGATGCAGTTTATAGTAATTCACCACCGTTTCAGAATTGGATCTTACTGTTCGAAACATTTTAGTTGATGGGTGTCAGTGTTCATGTGGGAGTTTGGCTCACCAATTTTACCACACCATACCACTCCCAATTTGACGAGAACTAGGTGGTGTAAACAACCCCAAAATTGAAGGTTTACTAGTGGGCTTACCGCATTATAGGGTGTTTAGATGATAAATGGAACAAACCAAGTTTTACACGGTTGTGTCAAGTGGGGGTTTATTCGGTTTTACATAAGCAAGCCTGAAGTTGGAGTTGATGGCTTTTACTCGGGTTGAGGTTGATGGCCTATTGTTTTTTTTCTTTCCCGTGCAACATCACAAACAGGGACAATATATGACAATGTGTGTATGGGATGGTATTGGCTACCGAACAACCGCAGAGGTTTTCTTTGCGAATTCCAAAGATGAATAGGACTTGAACCTCAACTATTTAGTATTGAAGTTGCACCAGAAGTATTCACTAAAATAACCTAACTAAGAATAGAACTAAGACCTTTTCACTAAGAACCAAAACTAAAAAACAGATTTAGTTCTTAGTGAGTCAAAATTGAACAACGATCGGGTTTGGCTGAACCTGGAACCAGTTGAGATCAGGGTTGCACGTGGACCCTGTCATTATCATTAATCCCAAATAGCACCAAACTGTATATGGGGGTTTCCATAAATGGGGGTACCCCAAAATGGATGGTTTATAATGATGGAAAAACCATCTATAAATGGATGATTTCAGGGGTACCCCCATTTCAGGAAACCTCCATATATATACATATACATATGTATGTCAAGTCATAGGGTACCTTTAGGATTCGATGGTTGACACCGTTCACGCCCAACATGAGTAGCTGTGAAAAATGATATTTTCCAAGTTCCCAACCATTTCTTGGGTTTTTCTCACATTTTCTCACATTTTTCCAACTTTTCCCAGCGTTTTTCCCAGGTTTTTCCAGGTTTTCCCTGCCTTCCCCGGGGGTTCCCCGGTGGTTCCCCGGTGGTTCCCCGGTGTGTCGCCAGGCGCTGAACGCCCTGGCGGAGGGCACGGCGGCGCTGCGGCGCCTGGCGCAGTTCCTGGCGCTGGATGAGGCGCCGGCCGCGCGGCCGCCGATGTCGGAGGACAAGGAGCTGCCGCTGCTGCTGGCGCCCGGTGCCGTGGTGAAAAAAACAGTTACCCTCTGGTAATGACTAACATAGCTATAGAAAATCACCATTTTTAATGGGAAAACTCACTATAAATGGGGTTTGTCTGAAAATAGGGTAATTTAAAAAACAGTTAGTCCTAATGATCAATGGTATATGGTGAAAATATCTATATCTATATCCCTATTATATAATAGTTATATCCATAGTTGTAATAATAGTTGTTACCCTCTGGTAATGACTAACATAGCTATTGAAAATGGTGATTTATCCACTGAAAATGGTGATTTTCCATAGCTATGTTAAGTTACCAGAGGGTAGTCCTAATTATCAAGTATATTTCAAGTATCAATGGTACGGATGGATGAGTTATGAAGAATCACAAAAAAAAGGGATTCATGGTTAATTAACCAATCGTAAAACTAATTAATTAATAGTGATTTAACAACAACTATTAATAGTGATTTTAACACATAGTAGTTATCAACTAATATTGTATTTCAACTATAGTTACATTATCAGTTAACATCAGTTGATATACTATTAGTTAATATACAGTGTACTAATGGTGTATCAACTATTGTTGTGTATTTCAATGAATAGACATGTATACTAATGGCTATCATTAACTATGTATTATTACTTGTGATCGATGTAGTTATATTTATTCATCACTAGACAATTGATGTAGTTATATCCATGCATATCTATTATGTTATAGATCTAGAATGTAGAGTATGAGATCTATCTAGCTGATCCATTTCAGCCATCCGTTGTTGGTGACTTAGAGGTAATATCATCATGGCGCCATCATCCTTATCCCCACCATCTATCTATCTCAGTCAGTCAGGCATTTCTGTTGGTAAGTTGAAACTTCTGAGGTAGTTCTTAGGTAGTCTGATGTACTAGTTACTGTTTACTATTCTTACTTTTTTAAAGTTATTGTAGTCGTTGTTTTCACTGCTATTGCTATGAGTGACAAGCAGCATTCTTCTTTTCCAACCCCAATCCATCATCCATCATCAATCCCAGCAAAATCTAAGGCAACTTCCCAACCACATCCATCCCTCGTCCATCCATCATCCACTTTAAATCCTGAGGCAAGACTATTATCGTCGTTATCAGTATTATTGTGAATATTTGTGACTAGATACACTTTGTGCAATTGTTTTTTTCTTCTTGATTCTTCCACTTCCTATTCCTCATTTTTTCGAAAAAATCATCCATATCAACTGAGGCAAGTACCACATCGGCACCAGCAGCAGTGCCCCCTCCCTGCATTTGTCCGAGCCTTTGAGCGTCGGCGTGGGAGAGCTGGTGGCCGTGCTGGGCCCGGTGGGCTCCGGGAAGTCCTCCTTGCTGAAGGCCTTCCTGGGAGAGCTGCCCCGGACGCCCTTGATGCAACCGCCGCAGCATGTGGCGCCGTGGTGGTTAGTTGGGGGAAGCCCAGTTGGGGAAAGCGAACAATATTTTTGGAGCTTTCCGCAGTCATGGGGGTACCCTCAGATTTTCGTTTTTTTTTTTTGAGAATATTCAGCAAATTATAGTGACCTCACGTTGTGACCGAACTCTGGAATCATGGTGAATGTATAGGGGGATCATCCCCAAATGGGCCAACTTTCAGGTTAGTGAAATATGATCATTTACCCAGAAGAGTTGGGGAACATTCTTTTTGTTTTCCAGAAAGAATGGGTTAGGGCGCGAATGTGGGGAGAAGGGGATATATCTATAATATATGGGGATATAATATATATATATAACAATTATGAGGTTTTGATGCAGATATCATGGTGATGACTTGGGGATTTGACCAGCAAATGACCCTGACCAACATTTGGGGATTTTTCATCAGCAAACACTTTTTGATTTTGACGGGACACCAAAAAAGCCATCCATTTTGGTAGGAGATTTTGGCCAATGTACCAATGAACAGTGGACATGCTCATGGGGCGGGGAGATGTAGAAGAATTTTTAGTGAAGGATGAATTGGTATATGAGTGTTTCCCAGTTAAGCAACGTTAATGACACATTGGTATACATTTGTTTGGAAGATTGAAGAAACGCACATGCCGACTTGAGTTAGGAAACTAAGTACTAAGTTGGTTGGTTTGGTCAAGCTGTGCTGGTTGCTTAGACACTTCGCTTGGTCATGTGTCAAAACTTGTTGAAACCACCAAAGGTCATTTCGAGTCTTAAAGAATCCAGATATCGAAGTTTGACCCAACCCTACCTCTTTGGAGGGTTTAGGTACTTGACCCCAATATTGAATCCGGATTTGTCCAACAACTAGGCATTCACAGAACCTGTATGAGCCTCGAATCCCAAAATTTGAACAAAATCGGACGGAAAACCCTCTGATTTTTCTCACAGCCGGCTGTTTGGAACGACCTTCATATCTTTCCCATTCTTTCCCCGGGATTCTTTCCACTTTTGATTCTTTTCGCCTGAGGCCTATTGTTCTCAACAGCCCTGGGTTCCGGAAGGCCGAAGTCTGCTGGAAGTGGTCTGTGGCGTGTGGATGGACGGAGAGGTGGCCTTTCCGAAAGCCATCGACGAGGCGGCCTTCAGCAAGGCCCTGGCCTGCGCTGCCGTGGACTTCGCGGATGCGGAGGACGAGGTCGGCGCTCAGCGGTCGTTAAGTCGTTTTTTGGGATGGGAAAAGGGGGATGAAACGTGGCGCAGAAATGCGCAGAATGGGAATATCATGGAGACATGGGGAGATCTGATGTTATTTCACAGTTTCCTCTCAAAAATGGTGGCGAATGAAGATCGATGATTTATCTATGAAAGATGTTGATTCTCCAGTTTGCAAACTGTTAAATTGCCAGAGGGTACTGTGCCAAGTTGAAAAAGAGGCTACGCGCTAAGCTCATGAACCAAGTTCCCTGATTCTGATAGGTGATGAAGCTTCGGGCGTTTTTGGGATTACTAGTGGAGTTGAGAAACAAACATGGTTTGAATAAACAAGGAAAACACATATCTAGTTTGGGGATTTGAGGAACAGAAATGGATGACTATATAAGAGATGAGTATTGGATTTTGATGATGAGGCTGCAACTAGCTGTCATGATTTTGATACATGGGTGTTTCGACTCTCGACCCAATCTTTTTGAAAAACACACTCAAATTGAGGACCAAGAAAGTCTGCCTGAAATGGCGATTTGGAATCTTCCTGGATGTTGCAGTTTTGGGCCAAAAATCGTGGCAAGACCATCCCCCTTCCCCCCCTTCCCCCCTTCCTCCCTTTCTGATATATATATATATGTGATTTTGTTCCAAATGCTGGCTTCGGCTTCCATCAACGGCATCCCGCTGGCAGCACCACAAGAATGGGTCCCTGATCCTAGCCATAAGCCCGTCGCAAGCATAGTTACTGTATCCATAGTTGTGGTATTTCGAACTTCTAACCCCCTCGTCATTGGGATAAATAATGATTTATTCATGAATATCATCCCAAACAAAACTTAGCCACTTGTTGGACCCGGTTGCTTCTAACCTCGATGTTTTCTTACTATCCCCATTTTTGATGGGTCCCCTTGTTCCGGACCCCTTAACAAGGGTCGACCCGGCAGGTCTCTGGAAGCTCCCTGAGTGGTGGTCAACAGGCACGCCTGGCCTTGGCGCGGGCTATGTACAAAGCACTGGTAGGAGAAGATGTCTGCGCCTGCGTCCTCGATGATGTCACAGCAGCTTTGGACCCACAGGTGGGGGTGCTTTTCTCGGCCACGACTGCCGGTGCCAGTTTGATGTTTTCTGGGTGCTGGGGGGTGGCAGTGTAGGCTGATGTTTTTTCCCGAATGCGTAGCGGTGGGTTCTCATTTTACTTTGGGCGTCTGGGGGTGGACCTGTGTTTTCTCGACGCTGCTATTGTGTCCGCAACCGTTCGCGGCACGACCGCAGCGGGGACCCTATGGCCGTGCCTATGGGGAGCTGCAAAAGCGGTGCGCAACGTCGTTTCGTGTGGCAGGCATGGCACTTCGTGACATTCCAACATGTTTCATAACATGTCAAAAGTCATTCTTTGTGACAGGCACAATGCTGTTGCATGGTTTTCAGACGATGATTTGCATTTTTTGTGGCAGGCACAGCGCTTTGGAGACCTCCATGTTCATTTTGCGTGGCAGGCGCAGCTTTGGTGAAGATCCGTCGTGTGTGGGATGTCATGCATTTTTCGCGGCAGGCGCAGTATTTTGGACACTTTCGTGTTTGCAGTTGTGGCGTGTCGAGTGTGGAGTGAAGAGCCCGCAGTGTAGAGCGTGGAGTGTAATTGTGGAGTGTACAGTGTGAAGTGTGGAGTGTAGAGTGTAAAGTGTGCAGTGTAAAGTCTAAAGTGTAAAGTCTAAAGTGTGGAGTGTGGAGCGTACAGAGCATACAGATGTGTACAGCGTGGAGTGTGGAGTGGCGAGTGTAAAGTCTGGAGTGAAGAGTGTCGAGTGTGCAGTGCGCAGTGTAGAGTGTTGAATGTGGAGTGTCAAGTGGGAAGTGTGAAGTGTTGAGTGTAGAGTTTGGAGTGTGGAGTGAAGTGTAGAGTGTGGGACTCAAGTGCGGAATCTGGAGTCTGAGTGTAGCGTGCCGTGTGTGCAGTGTAGACTTTCAAATGTGGAGTGTAGAGTGTAGAATGTGGAGTATAGAGTCTGGAGTCTGGAGTCTGGAGTGTAACGTGTCAAGTATGGAGTGTCAAGTGAAAAGAGTCAGATGCAGAAAAGGGTGCGTGACGACAGCTGCTCTGAGATGATGTTCTCGTGATTTTCCAAATTGTTGATTTTTTTTCCCTATATATATATAATATATATATACATACATCCTTTACGTGATCGCATTTGGTCTCTTTTTTTTTCCGGGAAGAAACGCACACAAGAAATGGGGTCAATCATTTTTCAGCGAAGAAAACTCGGGATCAACATGTCCAAGAAGGAAGTAAACGCATGGAACGACCCTGTCTGAGAATTTCCTTCTCCAGTGTGCGCTGATGAATTTTTGTGAAGCCACCTGATGTTTACGAGGCATTTCCATCAGAATTTCGACAGGCGACCAGGCTTTCTCGCTTTGAATACGTGTTTGGACTCGGTGATCATCACACCAGGTTTTTTTCTTCGCAGCTTATACTATTTTGATCTATTTGGTCTATATTTTGATCCATTTTGTACAAATCGGGGAGCTTATATATATATACAAAACACAAACGTAATTAATTATAATTATTAATATGAATAGATGAATAAATAAATTATATATATACATATATATATACATATATATATACATATATATACATATAATATATACATATATATATATACATATACATATAATATATACATATATATATATATGTATATATGTATACATATATATACACATAGTACCAATCAACAGGCACCGGGATGATCTGTCTCAATCTGCGCTTTCAAAAGGTGACCAATGAAGTCATCCAGAACTGCCTGGATGGTCCGCTGAAGAACTTGGCGACGATCTTCGTTTCCAGCGATCCAGGCTCCTGGTTGGAGAGCTGTGACAAAGTCATCGAGATGAAGGTGGGCATTTTCGGCGGAAATGATGGGGTGAATGTTGGGAGAATCCCCATTTGTGGCCCCCGTTGGGCTGTAACATGATAACTCTTTTCAGCTTAGTGAATAGTTATAATTCAGCCAGGTTTCAAACTGAATCCATGTATTGGGAATCTGCAAAGATATCACCCATTGAACTCATATTCTTACTTTGATTTGTGGCTTTCTTCAATGGGGCCCAATTTGAAACATTCATTTCCATGGTTGGTGAGGTGAATGCATGAAGCTGCATGAAACGCGCTTCATACTTCGAAACCTAAGTGGATGCATATTAGGTGCCCGAAAAAACAACCATGTATATTTTTTCATACTTCCCATCATTCTACTAAATTCTACCCTCCGATAATCAAACGTGGCAATGGAAAATTGCCTATTTAGTTCAATGTGTTTTTCCAGCTGTAAACCTCCATTTATCGTGGATGCTCCATTGCTACATTTGATTAAACGGAGGGTAAATCCTCTTAAATCACCATGAAAGCCTCATTAAATTCCTATAAAATCCCATAACATCCCATGAAACTAATGATTCAAATTCAAAAAAAACAGTTTTTTTTCTCCAGCATCTTTTCAGCATCGGCCCTTGACAGGCCGTGGGGAAGGAGCTGCGGGTGGACTTTGTTGGCAGCTACGCCCAGCTCTTGGAGCAGGGCCGTTTGACGCGGCTGCCGCGGCGGAAGAAGGGCGGGCCAAGCGGCAACAGCGCAACGGAGGGCGAGGAGGAGATGGAAGAGGACGGGGAGAGGGAGTTTTTGATGGGAAAACTAGGGGAAAACTAGGGGAAATGTATGGAAACATATGGAAAACACTGTAAAATATGGAGAACTGTGGACAAATATGGCAAAACTCTGGACAAAATTGGACATTGCATCTAGTTTAGTTCCATGATTTGCAAATAAAACATGGCGATTTTTATTGATTTTCCATTGCTATGTTAAACTACCAGGGAGTATTCATGTGAAATTTGGCAGAAATAGGGAATCTACTGGGGAATATGAATCTGACATATTTGTTGACTTGGAGGAAGCATTTGGTTTTGGTTCAAAAATGGGGAGGTTGAAGTATTTTTTTAAATGGCAATTTTGATGGGGGCATCTTTGAGTTTTTTTTCAAATCATGTTTTTTTGATAAACAAATCCAGCTAGGGTTGATTGATCTCGGTTGGTGTTGAGTTTGTTTGACTGGTACATAATATAGCACGTTGAAACAAGTGGCATTTTTTCTGGTTTCACAATCAATCTATGAGGGGGAGTGTTTGGTTTGACATGATGAGTTTCTTTTTCTATTCGATGATTTCAAAGCACTGTACTTAGATGGGCCATAAGGTTAATAACTGGGGTTATAACCCCCTATATCCCAATTATAATCCATTTACTAATTAGTTAACCAACTCCATGGCCCATCTAAGTAGTTCTGCTGAAGACTTTTCGTCCCATGTTTTGGGTCAGCCGATCCAAAATGGTGACCGTGGCACACGGTGTCTGGCCGGTGGCTGCGCAGGAGGATGCAACGTCACAGGAGGAACCAGTAAAACGGAAGAAATTGCAGGCTGCAGATGGGGAACCACTGGGCTGAATGGGTTTGAATCTGTTTGAATGGGATGATGTAAATGGGATATGCAATATTATTTTCAGGAAGTATCTCGTACATTGGAATTTCCGGGGCCTTTTATTTGGGATGGGACACTGGAATGGTACCATCTTTTACGGGGATTCTTGTCCATTGAACAGCAGACTTCGGCGCGCTAAAAACCAGGTTTTTGAGCTCACTGTTTGTTAGCCTAAAAAGTGTTCAGTAAGTTTGTGGAAATCAGAAAGGATTATGTGGTCAACGGATGGTTATTCCCCCAAATATGATAACAATAGGTTTTGACCCATCCCTATGTAGTGAAGTATGATCATTTTCACAGATATTCTAACGAATCGTTTTGCATCTGCCTTGAAGGAAGTTGCGAAGATTCGTCATGTCCGACATGTCGTGACCTGGGTGAAGCTCACCTATCATGATAGGTCGAGTACCATCCAAGTTTCTCGATTTGCCAAGTTTAAACCATACATAACCATACCCAATTTTCAAACCATACCCTCTGGTAAATAAACATAGACCCTGAAAATGACTAATTTATAGTGGAAACTAGTCTTCCAACCCCGATGACTGGCAGGGTCGAACTGTTAATTTACCAGAGGGTAATTAACCAATATGTTAATATTATTGGTATATTATGTTATAAGCATACATTTTGATACATAACCAACCACACAGAATACATAACAATAATATATTTTCAACTGCTCCCTGGGTGCTTGATCTGCCAGGTGACGACGGAAGAAGAGAGGGCTCTCGGAGCCGTTCCTTTGCGACGTGGGCACGTTTTTCCCAAGGGAATCACAGCTGGTGATCAAACATGGCAATGCACAAATTCCGCAGTCTTAGGGGTGGATTTTCCATGATTTTCCATGATTTTCCCATTGGAAGCTCCACAAAAATGGACCCATTGTCACATTTGATTATGGGAGGGTATGGTTTCGTCTTCCGGATCCCGGCCACGTGTAGAGCATGGAACCTTCACGAAACAACCATTGATTGCCGATGAACAACATGGATTCTGCAGGTAATAAGGCAAAGCCAAGAATAACCTGAATCAGAAACCATTCGGGGAATGAGAAAGCCACAAAAGCGGTCAAATATATTGCGTTTATTCCATATCGATCCCAAAGATTTCAACATGAATCCACATTGATCATATTTATTCATCCTATACATCTTATAGCAACTTCCAAAAGGACAGAACAGTAAAATCATGTAAAATCCAAGTCCAAAAGAGATAGAAATTCGTAAACTCCGAAACATTCGTGCTACTAGATCTACTAGTAGAACATGTCCTTCGAAATTGGGGGGTCTACCGGTCTACTACCGGTCTACTGTCCATCCCCTGAAACTCGGGCACCGAGGTTCCCTTGGCCTTGTATAGCCACTACTTCCGCAGCGCCCGCAGTCCCATCCTGCTGAGCAGCGCGGTGTCCGCGGTGGTCGCCAGCTATGCGGCCACCATCGTGCAGCAGTGGTTCATAGGCGAAGCATCAAATTGGGGGAGATATCCATGATTTTCTTCGAAAGTTTCAACATGGGCATAATTCATGGGCATATTTCATGAGATTTGTTGGAGCAACTTAAAAAATATATGATCTTTGGAATCATCATCAAATTTGAGGATTTTTTAGTAGGCATTGTAACATATTGTAACCAACATGGGGTCCAGACAAAAATGGTGACTCAACCAACCATAAGGGTGGTGCAATGAGGCACACTGGGGGTATCAGCAAGAATATGGCGATGTGTAACCGACAAGCGGATCTTCCACGGGATCTTCCACTGGATTTCCGGGCCTAAACTGGTCCAGTTTCAGCCCACCGTAAACATGATCCCAAAAATCCAGCAAAAACCTAAGGTGGTAAAGCCAACGCCATAAACGCAGAGGGGATGGTTTGAATCCCAAGCATTTATGGTAGGTCAGTGGGGGATGGTTTCCCCTTCAACTGGAACCCCTGGAGGCCTGTGGACGGCTGACACCACCATGCAGAGGGGCTTGGCCTACTACATGTTCCCCTGCTGAGTTCATTTTTGGGATTTGGATCCCCCAACTGGGAGTATGAATCCATCCCCAATCGCTAATGTTTACAAGGAGGATCATCAATTATTGTCCCTATTGTAGCTAGTTTTAAATCCCTATTAGAATATCATCAATCCCGTTTCTTGGTGACTTCCCCATGTGGCTCAAATCTATTGTTCTAAATCATCTTAAATCCAACATCCAAATCCATGAAAATCCATTGCTTTCGAATGGTTTTTCACAAATTCAGTCAACTCCAAGCCGTCCAGGTCTGGTGTCGTCTTCTGGGGCGTCGTTGCCTCAGCCCTGACCTTCGGCCGCGCGCTGCTCATCGCGGCCTTTTCGCGGAGAGCCTCGCGGGCGGTGCATGACCAGCTCTGCGACAAGGTGCTGGTCCAGGCCTCAACGTCCCACTTTGATAGGCGCGGAAGGATGGAACAATGGGAGATCACCTTGGGATATGGGGGATCCAATGAGGATGTGTTGTATATATATATATATATGATATATATATATATATATATGAATCATGTATATATATATATATATACACATTAGATATACATTATATATACATTATATATATACATATAATGTATTAAAAAATATATATATAGGGATCTAGAAGCAACAACACGGATATATTGTTGGACAGGCACCATTGGATGGAAAAGATTCGGGCATTTGTCACCAACATTGGTATATAAGTGATTTAACGAAGAGTGATTTAGCAAAATTCCACTTGGGAAAAACTATATAATTTGTGCATAAAATGAGAATATAATGAGTATATAATAGGATGTAACATAACCAACATTATGAACATATTATGGGAGTGGTAAAAATGGTGAAAATGGGACAGGCAGACACCATGCTGAGGAACATATAGGCATAGCTATTCATTCATGTAGTGTTTTTGACCTACCAGATGATGTGTGCATACGTACTACATATGTATATACATACAATCACAGATGTAGAGAGAGAGAGAGAGAGCCAGATAGGGTTAAAGTTGGAGCTTAGAAGCAAGCAAAATGCATTAACATATTGGGTTGCAGGGTTTCAGCATCCAAAAGTTGTACATCACCAATCATGAGTAAATGGCTCGATATGTTGGCTCAGCAATATTTCGGAGTTGGGTTAGGGGGTTGGGACGGGTTGACACCCAGAAACTTCGGGGAGCTGCGGAGGTTGAGAGTTGCAGTGTGATGTTTTTTGGAGTTCTGATCAACCAAAATGGATCAACATGAAAAATGGCAACAAACCTCTGCTGGTTGGTGGTTTCAAAGATGGCTTTTATTTTCCATTTTACATATGGAATGTCATCCTTCCCATTGACGAACTCATATTTTTCAAGATGATTAAAACCACCAACCAGTGTGTATAGTAGTGACATTTTTTCCGGTGGTTGGGTTGGGGCCCATAGATATTACTTGCAACTAGCTATTGCTTCTCTTCGTCATCACATGGCGCTGCCTAGTCATGGGATGACGTCCTTGGGGCTGCAGTTTTGGTTACAAAACCTGTGGTACAGGATGGGGCCCCCAAGATAGCTAAGTTGGTTTATAAGTGGCTTAACAATGGTTTATGGTAGATATAACTATAGTATTCATGGGAATTTCATGGTTTATAAACCAACAAACACCACTGGCCCCATCCTGTAAGAACCTTCAGTCGTTGGGTTTTTTCGGTTTTTTCCAGCCGCCCACATGGTGAAATCCCAGCGGTTTCAGCCGCCAGGAACCCGTCCAGCCGTTTGCTGCAGAACTTTTCCAAGGACTTGGAGCAGATCGACACGTCGTTGCCTGGAAGCTTGAGATCCGCGTCCTCCAGCATTTGTGCCGCGGCACCAAGGGGATGCCTGTTGTGGTGTGTTGTGGGTATGGCAAGAGAACCTGGAGTTTTGGTGGAATTTGAGGTTATTTTAGTGAAGAGTCAGCAGATTCAATGGGGTAAACCAAGAAAATGTAGGGAATTTTGATGAATTTTGGTTGTTGCGAGCATCAAAGATGTGGGAATTCAGCATGAAGATATAGGTAAAGGGACTGATGAGTGGTCGGTGAATGGTTCATGTCTATTTCATCTCCTGTGAAATGATTTTCATGGAGAAATCTTTTCGGTTTGCTGGTGCAAACATGTGAAGGGCCCAAAAAAATCAGACCCCAAGTAGCGATTTGAGTGGGAATCTCATAGGCTTTGAGGATCACACACTTGGCATTTTTTGGGCAAAGAAAGCAGGTAATAGGTCCAAGTTCTCCCAGCTGTCAGCAAAAAACACTGGAGGGTCACCAGTAGGATGGTTCCAGAATGTTCCAGATGTGGTGGTTGTGTCGTTTCGTCATAGGGCTACCACCAGTTCTCATCCAATTTTTATGGGATTTTCCAGGAAATCGACCATCCAGCTATGGGGATAGCCTCCATTTATGGAAACCCCCTGTACCATACAAGGCCATATTTCGTGGGTATATTCCCTTACATAGGCCTGAAAAATAGGCCTTATATATGGTAGGTACCTCCAATTTAGGATCCTGGAATGGCCATTGATGTATATTGTTCATTATTGTTCGTACTTTGCGATCACTACATGGGACAACAACGAGAACAACCCCGCTGAGAAATGTTTTCAAGATGGGTGGCTGAACCACCAATCAGTTTTAGATATCCCCAATTAATTATTCACACTGGGTGAATCATTGAAAGATAGCACCAAAACCTCTTGCCATGTGACTTGGTTTTGGGTCTCCGGATTGCAGTCCGGCCCTTTGTCCTTCTTCGACACCAGGCATTGAAACTTATTTTCCATATTTCCAAGGGTGAATAACAGGTTGTTGCTCTTAATGTGAATTTTTGGACTAGTACACCCCCAGGCTGTTTATTTGGGGGTACCCTCTGGTGAACTAACATAGCAATGGAAAATCACCATTTTTCATGGGAAAATCCACTATAAATGGCCATTTTCCATTGCTATGTTAGTTCACCAGAGGGTATCAATCAAGTATCACGTTATCACTATTTGGAGGCTACCCCCATAGGTGACATGGTTTACCAGGTGAGGTCAGGGAGCCACATGATTACGGTAGAACTTCAGTGATTACGTACATGGCGCATGTATGCATATGCATATATATATATATACACATGATTACATATGTATAATTGTATATATACACTTTAACACATAAAATTATCTAATACATATATAATGTATACATATATAGTGTATATATATATACACATAGAGTATATATAGAGCACACACACACATATATATATACATATACATGATCACATATACAGTATATATTTACATACATATGCATGTACAACATCAAAGTGGAATTTATCGAGGTAGACCTTTCTTCAGCGTTGAGGCACGCTGGCGGGGGCCATGTTCACCATCATCTTGGCCACGCCCAGTTTCAGCTTTCTTCTGCCGCCCTTGACGTGGATCTATATGTGCCATGGTTCACTGAGTTGGATGACCACCAATTTAGGATAGCTTTATGGTGATGAGAACTAGTTACTAGTTCGTTTGATTAGGGTCTGAACCAACATATAACTCAAAACAGGACGTTGGGTGCAATTTTAATGGTGTTTTTTTTTTCACCCTGAAACCGTTGGTATGGATAGGAATTTAAGATGACCTAATCACTGAACAATGGATTCTTGCCGCAAAATGGGGAAGTAACCACAAGCAAATGGGATGATTGATCATAATCTTGGGATATATAGTATGTATTGTTTATGTGCGTAATATATATATACATACACATACATACATACATTACATTACATTAACATTAACATTAACATTTACATTTACATTTACATTACATTACATTACATTACATTACATACATTACACACATTACATACATTACATACATTACATACAGACACACACACACACTGCACTGGCACTGTATATATATATATATGTATAAATACGTATATGAGATTATCATTGGGACATGAAACAACCATAGTGCGTGTAATGAGGATATCATGGGGATACACATGGCATATCTCATCGGATATATCACCTGTGAATCTTGGGAGATATCAGCAAGAACACATGGGGGAACTATGATGGGTATATGATACTTGAACAAACAAACACGATGAGGATTTCCATGGGGATATATAGGTATATGATGGGTATGTGATACTTGAACTAACCCTCTGGTAATTTAACGTAGCTATTGAAAATGGTGATTTATAGTTGATTTACCCATTGAAAGTTGTGATTTTCCACAGTTATCTTAGTTTACCAGAGGGTAAACACGGTGAGGCATCATGAGGATGACCCCCCCGGTTTGTAGTGGGCTAGAATGGAACACAAACATCACCACCTTCTACCCTCCGGTGTCATCAAAGGTGGCTAGATGGAAGTTTCCATTGCCAGCTTTGATTACCAATTTAGGCTACTGCAGTAGTGCTGAACATCAGTGGCTTCCTGGTTTCCTCAGAGAAACTCGTTGTGGTTTCAACATGGCCTCCGAAAATGTGAGCGAACTGGGCCGCCGAAACTGAGCTAACAGGGCACCTCAAAATCCTATGACATTCAAGTAAAACCTGTTCAGCAATATCCTTCCATATCCTTCAACATCAATCAATATCCATTATGTATACAATACATCCATTCATATCCCATTTCCATGAACAATAAATTTTCCAATCAAAAGAACTCCAACTCTGAACTTCCTCAGGAAGTCGCTCCAGTACTACCGCCCCGTGGCGCGCGAACTGAAACGTCTGGAGCCCCTGGCGCGGTCGCCCGTCTTCGCCGAGCAGCAAGCGGCGGCCAGCGGGGTGACGACCATCCGACAGCTGGGGCTGGGGAACGTCATGGCGGTAACTTGGTGGTGGCCGGCGTGGATTCAGAAGGGGCATTAGTCCGCTGGTAGTCTCATGGGGATTCAGCAGGGGCATTGAGGCGGTAATTTAAGTGCCACGATGGGATCATCCAACTCTGAAAAAGATGGGATGGGAGCATTCTATTAGATCATCCCTGAAGAACTGCTCAGGGATTACATAGCCAACTCGAGGCATCCCAGTTGGGGATCAAAGCCCTGGTGTCCCTGGTCTACACATCAAAATCTTCGAAAGGTGGATGTTCATCCCTAAAAATCGCAGGTATAAGCCGGGTTCAGGCTCCGCATTTTGATAGCGTAGGTATAAGCCGATGTGATAGCACAGTTTGAAGTGAGTGAAGTGGTATGCTTCCTAGTAGTGGAGAAGCAGGACACGCCTGGAATACTGTCTCAAGTGGTAAACCCAATTTCATAAACTATTCCCAAAATCATGATAAGTAGGTGGTTTAAAAAACACCATCCCCAGTCAGGGTAGGTTTATGGCAGCTGTAACGTAGCATGGTCCGTCCCGTGGTGACTTGCACCGAGTTCTCCGGATGATTCGCAATCCCAAGTTTGTTGTCAAAATCCATTCAAATCTAAGGTATACTGGTTGGTGGTTTGGAACATGTTTTATTTTTCCATATATTGGGAATAATCATCCCAATTGACTAATATTTTTCAGAGGGGTTGAAAACACCAACCAGTATATACATCCCTTCCCAAATGGATATTTTGTTGTCATTTACTATCCACTTAAGTAAGTAGATAGGGACACCCATCATTAATGCAATCAGTTTCCTGGCCTCAAATTACCTGGAAAGTAACCTAAACTCACTTTTCGATGACATAAAAAATAAGTTGAACTTGATCTAGAATCCAGCAAAAGACCATCAATCTCCTGGAAATTCCATGGAATTTCCGAGATTTTTGATCGTTAAGTCCCCATTTTTTTTTCGAACAGATCGAAAAAACTCCAGATTTGTTCGAAAAATCATCCGAACCTTTCAACCACGAGGCGCGTGCCCTGCGTGCCATCGACGGCAACACCGCCGTGTCCTTTGCCGCGCGGGCAGTGGACCGATGGTTTTCCCTGCGCCGCGGCGATATGTTGAAGGGGCGTCTTCAGAGGGGGTGCAAGGGATTAGTGATCAATTATAACTATGAATATAGGGACATAATAACTATGATTATTAGTGATGATTATAAACATAATTATTATCATTATTATGGATATTACTGATATTATATTAATTATTATATCCATCACTATTTTTATATCACTAATGATCATCACTATTATATATCACTATTATATATCACTATTATATATCACTATTATGGATATCTTAGTGATATAATAGTGATATGCAATAGTGGTGGACATAATAGCTATGATTATTAGTGATGATGATTATTGTAAATATTATTATTTGTGATTATTATTATTATTAATTATTATTATTACAATGGATATAATAATCAATTACTGTATACCCTGCAGTAAACTAACGTAGCTATAGAAAATCACCATTTTTAATAGGTAAATCAACCATAAATTGGCATTTTCAGTGGCTATGTTAAATTGCCAGAGGGTAACAACTATTATTACAACTATGGATATAATAACTATAAGAAATAGGGATATAGATATAGAATATAATCAATGTAATAGTAGTTATATCGATATGGACTAGTTCCTATGAATATTGGGGTTTCCATAAATGGAGGTATCCCAATAGCTGCATGGTTTATTCGCTGGAACAGCCTCCTAAAATGGATGATTTGGGGGTACCCCTATTTCAGCAAACATCCATATAAATTATATAAAGCATTAGTAACTATATTATGGATCAATTACTATGGATTAGTGACTATAAGACTATATTCAAGGCAAAACATGCAAAAAACATATATTTCATCAAGTAATATCCTATGATTAAATGATATATATATATATATTTTATTTATTTATTTATTTACTTATTTATTTATTTATTTATTGTATATAGATATATTTTATAGTTATATATATAATAGTTAAGTTATATATATATACATATTGTTTTCACAAATATATATTTATATATTATAATTATATATGTATTATAATTATAAATATATATATAATATCGACAATATCGCTATAGGCCATATCTGGTATAACCTGGTAAAACCAATGTGATAAATCATCCCAAGTTATCACAATTTTGATGGCAACAAACACATACCCAAATGGTAGGTTTGCATGGCATTGGGTTTACCACATTAGTAACTGGCTAGTAACAAATCAACTGTAATGCACTGGAAATAAAAAAAAGTGAGTAGCTAGTAGTTCACTTATTGTGACTGTAAGTGCTTGGTAAGTGCTTACAAATTCACCGGCAAAATGGCACGTGACCTTTTTCTCTGCAGAATAGTGATGGAGCGTAATTTAAGATGCTAACTTCTATTAGTAACTGGGACCAGCAAGTGGTTGGTTAGTGATTACCGTCAAACTAAGCATGAACTGGATTTTACGGGACTTCTCAAGGAGTTTCCAAGCTCTAACTGGTATTTACTGGAATATTGTTAGATCTTGGAAACATGGTTAGATGAAAACTGGCGTGAGTTGACAACTCCTGGAAATTGGCGTGAGTTGACGTCATGGACAGTCATGGTACAAAGGCTACACCTTTGTCGAAGTTTATGGTTTCAAATCCCAATTGGAGGTTTCCAATCCATGGAAACCATCCAGCGTTTTTGGGTACCCCCAAATGGAAACATGGAAACCCCCAGTTTCTTCCAGAAATTTCATCACTCCAACGAGGTGGTTTATGCTTTGTTTCGAACCAGTTTTGTTTGGTGGAACTAAAACAACTTAACAAATCACTGGTGATTTGTTACATGGCTATTTTGAATCACCATTGAAAAAAACAATACGGTGATTTTCCAGTTCGCAGGCTGTCATTTTTTCATCAACTGAATGACCCAAATCACCCTCCTATCACCATCCTATGCTCCTAGGCCCACGGAACTCAACTGCTGTCCAAAAACCAGTCTCATCATGTCTCATCCACGAGGGTTCGGTAGATCCTTTCAACTATATCAACAAACAGCACATTTCTGATCTGGTTGGTGGTTTGGAACATATATTTTATGACTTTCCCTATATTGGGAATAATCATCCCAACTGACTTTCATATTTTTCAGAGGGGTTGAAACCACCAACCAGTGATGGTATCAACTGAGGTTATGAACCAACAATGGTAGATATTTCTGATGGTATATCAACTATATTTCATTGGGGCTATCAACCAACAAACAGCACCGAGGTGCAAACTTCGTCAACTTTCATCCCATCCCAAGCCCACAGATGGTAGATACACGCCATAGTATTCTGTAGTTAATTGGGGTAACATAAACCAACAAACATGGTTTCAATCCCATTTTTTTCGCATTATTGTTGGTCACCAGCAACCACTTCCGAAGGTATATAAACCAACACCTTGTGCCCACCCCATTTAACTACGTCGATATATCCACCATAAACCATAAGAATTCGGGATTACAAGCCAACAGAGTACCATCAAATACTACATACACCAAGGTATGGTCTTATATATATATAATCAATATATGGTTTGTATATCTTGGGACATAAATATGTAGCTTGGTAAAACCACCGGCCAATAAATACTTGGATGTTCCAGTTATAAGCGGCCATTTCAGCATTTGGATGGTTCTCATGCTGGATATTTCCAACGAGTTTTGCTTGGGTGAAGCAACAAACACCACTGGGCGTCGGGGAACTTAATAACCCCAAGAGGCGCCACATCTAAAGCGAAAAACCCATGGTTATACCCATGAAAGTCACCCAAAGTATTGAATTATGATTCCCATTATGAAGCCTACTTTCAACTGATCACAGATTTTGGTGTGATCAAACTAACGCTACTCTGTGTGAACGAACTCTGTGTGAAACGTCTGTGCGTGATGCGTCAGGCATGGAATCAAACAACTATTTGCCAATACTCCTTTGTAGAATGATACGCGTACATAGACTCCTGCTTAATAGAGTATTGTACAGATTGCCTGTTTTTTTTTTTGTAGTTTTACCTTTGCGTAGACTGAATCTCTTTTCGCCTGATTTTGCCTTTCCATAATCCTTCGAACAGCAGGGTAGGGCCAACGGCCATAAGTCGCGAACTAAAACGGCTCTGGCAAAAAAAATGAAGCCTAGACCCAACACCATGAATCCATATTCATCCATCATTTTTGATGGGTAAAATCCACATCCCATCCACTATTTTGATGGTGAAATTCCCATTCTTTTCGGTTCATCCCATATTTTTCATGGTTAATCCATGTTAATCCACCAACCACATCCCAGGTGCCATATCCCAAGTTTATGTTGGTTATCCCCATGGTCATATATATATATATATATATAGACCCTATAGCCAGATGACCCAAAGGGCACCAAGCACCAGGCGGATGGAACTGCTTGGGAACCTCATCGTCTTAGCCTCGTCTTTGGTCTGCCTGGCTGCCAGCGGTGCTGGTGCTTGGTCGGAGGCGCGCTCAGCCATCGCGGTGACGCAGGCACTCTCGGTCTGTGGCCTGTTGAATTGGACCGTGCGCACCATTGCGTGACTGGGACCTAGTGGACCTGGGAGGTGGGTTGGCTTCACGAAAAAATGCTGCGGAACTGCTTGGGATTGCAATAGACCTAGCATGACTGGGGATGGTCTATAGAATCAAAATGCTGATGGCTTGGGGATGGTGCAAATGATTGGGACTCAATTAACAATAATGGGAATATCATAGGGATATATCATATAAGTAACTGAAAGTAGCAGGGAGTGGACTTGGGATGCTCAAATTTCGATGTCCATTGCGAGTAGTTCATGGAGTTGTTGAGTTGCTGTTTTTTTGGCAGTAGTGAACTAGGGTTCACAATGGGATACAATGGGAAGACCTCATATGTCAGTGAAGATATGATCATCTATCTTGTCTATCTGCCTGTCTGTTTGTTTGTCTGATCGCTTGTCTATCATTCTATCTGTCTGTCTATCTATTTATTTGTAGTGTGTATATATGTGTATATACATAAATGTATACACAATGGACATCTATATACATATAGATGTAACGGATTATATACATATTTGATATCTATGTCTATATGGTGATGGGGGGTAGGGGCTTGGGAGGATGGTGTGGGCATCTAAATATATATGTGGTATCAGATGATGTACAGGTTTTACAATGCTCTATATGGTAAAAGCCTGAGGGTCATCTATTGATAGCCACATCTATGTCTACAAAAAGATGACACAACTAATCTCTGTATACATAACGTCTGCGTAAATTATAACGACCTCACTGCGACCTCACTATAATCATAGTTAGTAAGGGGAATCATCCCAAAATGGCCCAACAATTCAGGGTAGTGAAATATTATAATTTACCCAGATAACATATCCTAATTGATATATTATATTGATATATAACATATGTTAGGATATAGTAATATATACATAACATATCCTAACATCCAATATCTGATATCTGATTAATATTGATCAAACGTATTGTGTTGATGCGACACGATGGGGACCCCTTTTTTCTCAGCAAAAAAGATCCATCCTTCAAGGCAGATCCCCTTGGTGGCAACATCATTTCCCCGGTTTTTTTTTGTGGCAGATCCAATGGGTATACCCTCTGGTTAGAGGTTTAACACGCTGGGAAAATATGGGAAAATCATCGATAAAATTGGTGAATATCCCTTCTGAATATCCCCACGATCCCAATTAATATCTCCGCCACATTCCCCTCAATGTTGGCAACAAACGGTTAAACGTTAAACATCGTATTCCAATGAAAACAGGTGCTTTTCTGCTGAAAAATCCCCATCAAGAATGTTTCGGAACGAGTGTAGTGATGCAAAAAAAAAAAAACACCCAGTTTTTCCACGGCATTTCCACCATGCGTTTCTTGGATCATCCCATACTTTTGATGCTTCAAAAACAATTCCATCCTGGATTTTGGCTGACTTTTCCCTCCATTTTCCAGTCCCCATTTTCGCATCCAATAGCTGGATATGTTTTTTTTTTCAATGTCAATGGTTCGAATCCGAAACAGATGAGAACTGGGGGTGCTACCCATTTTCCAAAACGGAGTCGCCGCCACCCTGGCCCTGGCCACGCCAAGGCAGACGGAGACGAGTTTCACCAGCTGGCAACGGGTTGAGGATGCACTGGACAGCACTGAAGTTGAAGGAGCCAAGGTGACGCCCGAGGCGGATGGGGATGGACTTATGGTGAAGAAAAACATGGAAAAACAAGGGGAGAATGTCTTGAAGGCTTACCCTCTGGTAATTTAACATAACTATGGGAAATCCCCATTTATAGTGAGTTTTCCCATTAACAATGGTGATTTTCCATAGCTATGTTAAATTACCAGAGGGTATTATCCATGGTATTTTTTACTCGTATGTAACTATAACTGGGATATCATAGAGTTACTATATCCCAGTTGGGATATCATATAGTTATGATTTTTGGGATATCATATAGTTACTATTACTATCACCTCTGGTAAATTTCACAAACCAACCCTGAACATAAGCCATTTTTAGTGGTTTCACTCATCTTCCAACCACGATGACTGCCAGGGTCGATCTTGATTTACCGGAGGGTTTCCCTATGGTAATTATTATGGTAGTATTTTTTAGCTGTAGCATATACTGTTAAGAAAACAATATCCCATTTACTATCAACAATAACACTGGTAGTCATAGTATTTTATTAGTGTAAACTGGATATTTCTCATAGAGTTTCTACAATTATCATTAGATAACGATCATATCAGGGGAGAATGGTAGCAGAAATGGCAGGTTATAGAATAGACACCGGTGAGAATAGAATACCTATCACAGGACAATTATGATAGAACCGAGATAAGTAACTATGGTCATGGGGTTAGAATTCGAGTAATTAAGACTGGTACATAGAAAAAAAACTGTTGTATTAGTGTGGTAACGTGGGAACAAGGGATGATCATGACTGATTGGTGGTTTCAAACATTTTTTATTTTCCATAATATATGGGATGTCATCCTTCCCATTGACTTTCATATTTTTCAAGATGGTTAAAACATGTTAAAACCACCAGATGAGATTGTGGTCATGAAAATGATGGGACATGATTGTCATCTATCTTGTCGTGAACGGCGAAAATCGGAGCGAAGATCATCTGAATGGAGAGCCGATGGCTAGCCATGATGGGATATTGAGATAGAAACGTCGAGCGGGATAGATGGCTTGTCCATCATGGAGTAAAGGCACCATTTCTATCCATTTCTTATTATTTTATGGCAATTTCAGGGGAGATAAAAAATCATTAGCCATGCTGAAAACATATTTGATCGGGAGATAGTCAATCCAGCATATTCTCAATTTGTGTGGGCTACTGTACTCTATTTTCAGTTTTCCATTGATCCAAAACGCAAATCAAAGTAGATATGAAGCATCCAGCACAATCTCCAGGAAATCCTTACATGGCTTGGAAAATTAACCATGGATTTTCCCATTAAATCCACCATTTATAGATGATGTTCATTGATTTTCCCTAAGATTTCTCCCATGAAGATCTCCATTTTTGAGCTAAATTCATCCCTTGAGGACCAGCAGCTTCCAGCTTCATGGCCTTTGAGTGGAACGATCAATTTTCAGGTCACTGGGACCACGGACGGGACGGGGTTTTGAGTCCTTCTTTTTCAAGTTGGGATGGTTGGGATGTCGCGATTTCTCAGAGCTGGGTGACTTCGAATCATGGACAGTCATGGAATTCATGAAAAGTTGGGGGATAAAAAACTGTCATGAAACATGGGAGTTGCAGCCATCCAAGAAGTGACAAAAGGTGATCTTCTGGCACCAAAGATTCAGATCCCAGTCACCCAACACAGAGATGCTCTCCGCGGATGGGTCGAAACCTATGCCACTACCAGATTTGGGGGATGAAAATATCCATAAAGCAGCTATTTCAAGGGGTATCTCGCGTACCAGGGTTTTGACTCATAGGCTAATCTATCCTCCCGTAATCGAACATGGTTGGACAATCTCCATGTTTGAATCTCATTTTCGGTGGAAAATGGTCGGATGCCAGGCATGATTGGCTGATACTGTTGGACATCACGGGACTTTTTTTGGGAAAACCTACACAGCCGCCTCCTAACATGGGGCCATCCAGTTCTAGTGTGAAAAAGAGGACAACTCAATCCAATTTTCGTAGCAAATCAATGCTTTTTGGCTCACTTCTTGGAGGCTTCCATCAGGTAGGACGGTAGGTAGGAATAAAATTCCGCACGACTGGGCTCAGATGGGCGCTGCAGGACATCTCTTTCCGATATCGGGAGAACATGCCCTTGGTCCTGCGCAAGCTCTGTTTGAATCTCACCCCGGGGCAGCGTGTGGGCGTGGTTGGCAGAACTGGAAGTGGCAAGTCCACCTTGTTGAGGTGCACGGGAGCGTAGCAGGGTAGCCGTGAAGTAAACATTGGGATTCACCGAACAATAGATAATGATGATTGATACTAATTACATCAGTAGTGATTCAAAATCGATTAATAGTAGTGATTTATAAGCTATTGATAGTAGTTATTTTATAATCCATTATATAACCCATTACATAATACAATCAATAATACAAATTCCATTAATAAATCATTAATAATTAATAATATTGTATTATTTTGCATTCATCTATTAAACCCACCATCTGCACCATAGGGGGCTATGATAAATCATCCCAAGTAGCCGTGTTTTCTTTTTCGGTGTCAAGTGGGGTCAAATTTGAAGGACCGAACGTAGTCTGGTTGGTGGTGACTGGAACCATGGAATTTTGAATGACTTTCCCATGATATTGGGAATTTTCATCATCCCAAGTGACTTTCACTCCATCATTTTTCAGAGGGGTAGGTTGAAACCACCAACCAGTAGTTATCATATGTTCTCATTCAATTTGGATTTTGGCTCATATTTCCTACCTTGGGCTTACATGTTAAACGTGGAAGCTCCAATTTTTCCGAGCCCGATTTGTGTCCCTGAAACAAATTCGAAAAAAACCGGTCACCCCTCGAAGTCCCTAGATTCAGCGTCTCGTGCAGACCACAGAACTTCTCCACCAAAAAAGGATTATTTTAGTATTTGGTGAATCACTAGTGATGAAAAAATATCTAAAAACTCCCAGTTTTTTTGTGGTGTAACCCCACTTTTTGCCCCACTTTTTGGGCTTTTAAGATGTTTTTTTCACATGTAGGGCCACCCACTTGGCCGAACAAAAAAACGGTTGACGTTCCGTTGGAGGATTCTCCTCCGAACGGTGGAGCCCACGGAGGGCTCCGTGACCATCGATGGGGTCGACATCCAAACAGTGGGTCTGGCGCGGCTGCGCTCCTCCGTGACAGCGATCCCTCAGGACGTCGTTGAGTCGTTGGGGCAGTTGGGGGATGGCCAAAATCATGGGGCTGTTGCTGTTGGATGTTGCTGCAACGGTGCAACCGAAGATTTTTCGGATCCGAGAAAGGCTGATCGTCACGAATCTTTCTGGGATTGAGAAAGTGCTGGTTTTACACCTGAGAAATAGGCATCGTTTTGTTTGAAGTGTTCATATGGATAAATCGACATGAGCAGTGTTCAAGACCCCTGTTGGTTGATGATGAGTTCCGGGATTATACTATCCCAATCTATCCCATATATTGAGAAATATCATAATCATCATCCATGAACGGGGAATCCCATTCTTAACAGCTGTCTGAACATGGGACTATTGGCCCCTCAGCCTCCCATATAGGCTATATATATATATAGAGGCTATATATAATATATATATATAATATATATATATATATAATATATATAATATAATATATATATATAATATATATATATAATATATAATATATAATATATATATATATATATAATATACATAGGCTATCCTAAATTCATATGGAGAAAATATATGAAAACATGATGAAGCATTGGATGAAATGGGGCCCATCCGATTTTCAGAGAGAGTCAGCCATGGCTGAAGGACTCAACGAGTCCTTGGAGAATCGGATGAAGCCACAAAGCATGTCTAGTACCCCCAGATCGTTTGGTTCAAAACCAGATTTTTCCCAGTAAATCATGGCAATAAATTGGGGTACCCTCTGGTAAACTAACATAGCAATGGAAAATCACCATTGTCAATGGGAAAATCCACTATAAATGGTCATTTTCAATAGCTATGTTAAATTACCAGAGGGTAAACCTCCAATTTTCAAACACCCCACACATTCCACAGTGCTGGTCATGTATCCCCATGGATATCCCATTTATATCCACTGTTTGTTGGCCTTTTCAACTCATTTAGGACGTCATTTTCAAGTCTCACCATTCTATCTCAAGTCATGGGGTTTTCTCGGTCAAGTCACAACGTGTACCCGGAGAGAAGATTGTACTCTCCCCATCGATTCTGCTTAACCTACATTTCTCGCATTTGATGGGAGAAATCCCCGAGTTTTCCTATGAAATTAGCAGTCATGACTGGGGGAACCATTCAGCGATTAACCAGCTACATAACTTAGGGTAGGATGCCAGGGTACGAACATAGCCATATGACACCATCATTTGTTTAAGCGAAGATTCGAAGATCCATAAATAAAATTACACACATGGAGAAGGAAACAAACACATCTTGACAACACCAACCAACTGAGATGTGAAAAACACGAGTAGAAAAAGGGAAAGAACAAAAACACATGTTGTAAATCCCAGCTACTTTGATGTTGACCAGTGTGCCATGCTTTTGATCATAGCCGCATCCCGATTTTTAGGACAACTAGGTTATTCATAAACCAACTAACATAAGTTGATGGCTATATCCCAGATTATATAATCCTACAACTGGATATAGAGATATAGATGTTCATTTATAGATTGCCATCTAGCTATAGTTATAATCACATTAGTTAATCCAATTGTAAACCAACTTGCTTGGTGGCTTATCCCAGCTAGTAAAAGTGGGTTATAACCCCACTTATAATTGGGCTACGCAATGGCTAGTCCATAACTGGGGTTAGAAACCACTTACGATTCCTATAGCTACTTCGCCAGCAACTTCCCTAGCAACACTTGGGCTGGCCGCGGGTGGCCGCAGGACAATTTCTTGATCAGCGGCTCTGTGCGGGAGAACGTGGACCCCCGAGGCAGCTACAGCGATGAGGAGGTGAAACACGCCCTGGAAGCAGCGTCGCTGGGCAATTGGGAGATCCATCGGCACATCAATGCGGCCAGAGACACTTGGAGCGACATGGTGGATGGAAGAGATCCTGAAAAATTGCACCGGCAAGAGACCCCAAACAGTGTGGGGAAGCATTTTTCATGTGTGACAAACAATGTACCCTCTGGTTATTTAACATAACCATGGAACATGGCCAATTTATAGATGGTTTACCTATTAAAAATGGTGGATCTTTCCATGGCTATGTTAGTCATAACCAGAGGGGAGGTAGATCAGCCCAGGTCCTTGCTGCCATAGCTCCCGACCCACTCAGCTCAAGCAAAAATACCCTCTGGTAAACAGCCACATAGCTATTGAAAATGACCATAGAAATAGTGGATTTCCCCATTAAACATGGTGATTTTCCATAGTTTTTTGTATGTTTACCAAAGGGTAAAAGTCTGCTGACGAACATTGTTGAATCTGAGCCTTGCTGACAGCTGCACAGAAAAATCCACCTTTTCATCCTCTGACAAATCACACAAACTCTAAAAGTCGTTTCCAACCATTCCGACTAGAAGTCTGCAAAGACCCTGTACCAAACATCACCATCCTTCTGGGAAAATGGTAAAAGACCCTGACCAAGATCTTCACCAGGACCTCTCAGAGAATCTCACAAGACCGTCAAAAAAGGACCTGCGGGAGAGGAAGATCTTGCAACAAGAACCTTCCAAGAGCATCCCAGAAGAGCTTTCATACCACCTCTAAAACATGGCATCTGCAATATCTTCATATATCACGGGCCTCCGAGAGGATGCATTGCAGGATCTTCACAAGATCTTCTCATAAGGAGCACAAGATCACGCAAGGACTTCTGACAGGATTTCATCATGATCTTCACAGCAAGGCCTTGGTCAAGATCTTCATATATCACGGACCTCTAAGACTGCGCCATGAAACGCGTTCAAGATCGTTATAGGAGGAACTTCCCGAGAACTCATGAGATCTCTTTACCAGGATCTCACAGAATCAGCAGCAATCAGCACCACACCACAACGAGAGCGATCCGACGCGCACAAAGTGCCGAGAGGGTTGCGCGAGCACATCTTAGATTTTCACAAAGCATGGCGCGCACCAAGAATAATGAACATTGAAAATGTCAAAAACGATGTTTTACCTTGGTCTCAGCAACTTTTTTGTCCAGGTCTGCAAAGTATTGTGCCTGCCATGAAAAATGAGCCCGAGGCATCCGAAGTGCTGCACCTGCCACACGGAATCATAAACATATCCAAAATCAAAAATGACGACAGTTTCACAAAACGAGGTCGACCTTTTCAAAGCGTCCTCCAAGTTCGCCAAATATTGCGCCTGCCACGTAAAATGACCTCCAAAAGCATCTCTCATTTTGACCCACACCTGCCAATGTTTTAGCAAGGTCCAGAAAGTGCCATGCGTGCCACACGGATGAAAAAGTGTTTGTTGTCCTGCACCTAAACGGCATTAAACGACGTTTTAGATTTCAAAATGTCCCAGATGTCCCACACCTGACACACGAAATGGACATAGCTCAAAAAAGGAGCACGGCGCGCTAAGTTAACTCGACACCTTCGAAACAGACAAATACCGTTACCTACATTTTGTGTGCGAGCCTGCGCAGTCGAAATGCACATGAACATCTCACAAGGGAACTTTTATGTGAGAGCTGACAATGGAAAAGCCGGGGGCCAGAGAGCGTACCCTGATGTAACCCCGGCCTTTTACTCTTACCGTAAGAACCCCTCAGTGCGGCCACATTGTTGGGGGAACCAGTTGGTAGATGGCAGGACTCCCCTTATAATCTTATAGTGTTTCATAGTTACTAACAGTTGCCAACTGGCTCAGGATTTTGCAGCCATCCACAGTATGTGCCATGCTTTTTCATATATGAATTTATATTATGGAGATAGTAAAGAAAAGGAAACTTGGACTGTGAAGAAAAGGATTGGTTTGACCAACAAGTGAGATTTAAACAACACAAACCATGATTTAACCATCAAACAATCGATTGGTGTATGCTTTGACTTTCTAAAATAGGCTGGGGATGGGTAAAAAAATGTCCAAAGGCCAAGGCTATTGCTATTCGTCTGGGACAGGGGAGTAATGGGAATTCAAGCGCCCAGCTTGATGGCCACCAATCATGGTCCCATCTTTTGGGGATGGATTGGAGATTCATATGCCCTCGGGTAATCAAATGTGAACAAAATGGAGGTTTATGACTGGGAACATCACCTAAAAATGGTGCATTTTCCAGCGAACCATGTTTGATTACGAGAGAGTATACCGTACCCATTCATATACTTGGACCTTGCCAAATTTGTGGCTATTAGGGAAATATCCAATACTATGGGGATTCGTGGGGATATTTTCTGAAATCATTTGGAACTTTGCAAGACTTTGCCACCCAGAAAAATGGCATATAGCCACCATGAATGGGGATATAGTGCGTGGAAATTGCCGCAAAAATGGGGGGCGAGTCATCGGGGTTTTGCCCAATCCGCCATGGATGATCCCAACTGTATGTTGGAAATCAAGGCAAGAAAAACCACCACTCAGCTCGTTGTTTTTGTTTGTTTTTTCAAAAAATCATTCCCTGTTTCCATGTATAGATTTCCATCTAACTATACTTATAATATGTTATAGTCACCATAGTTATTCCAACTATAAACCAATTTTGCTGAGAAAACTTGGGCATCATCTGTTCTAGGTGCAATCCGGCCAATTTTTTTGAAACCGGGGAAACCGGCGTTTGAGTTGGCATTCAGGATATCTCACCGGGTGAAAAGCAGTTGATCGGCGTGGCACGTGCCGTCTTGCGGAAATCCCGCATCGTGGCGCTCGACGAGGTCATATGGTGTTGCCGCATCGGGCCATGGTCGATGGTCAGCCCCCTCAGTTTTACAAGGGGTCATATTGTACCATCCGGCAAACTAGCATCATATAGATATAGTTGTGGAAAATCAATAATCGGTATAAATCATCGATGATTTTGTTTCCACGTCTGTATTAGTTTACCAGAGGGTACCCATTCTGTCTCAGAAAAAGACAATGAGGATGTCAAACAACAAAAATGGGGATGTAAACACCCCAGTGCACTGGCTGATTTTGGTGGTTGACATGTTTACACAGATATACTACTGTACATAGATGATCTGGGTATTTGCTGGTTTCTTGCATGTTTCAGCAAGAAGTTTCTTCCAGTGTTCGTAGCTTGAGTTTTCCGTTTTGTTTGTGCAAACCCTAGCTATGACGATTAAAAATCAATGTTTCATGAATTTTCATGATTTTCACGGTTGTAATCCCCATCTTTGTTGCAAAGACGCCCATTTGTGAAAAAAAACTGCAGGTCACGAGTCGAGTTGACAAAGCCACCGACGAAAAGGTTCAGGCAGCATTGAAACGTTTGCCCGAAGGGACCACATTGTTGGTGGTGTCGCATCGCTTAGTCACTGGCTGATGATTTAAGTTTGCTGGAAACCAAACAACAGCAAAGACCCAGAGATTTTCGCCACAACAATTGGTTGGTGGCTTCATTTCTTTTTTGCGTTCCACCTTCAAGAAATGCGATGATGATCACCATTGAGAGCAATTGACACTACTGTATTTGGAAGTCGAGGTGTGAATTTCTACCCCAATGACCTCAGATCTTCGCAATATCTACCTCCATTTTTACAGGAACCATCAGATCTTCAGGCGCAAGACCAAGAGCTTCGCGATTTTTTTTCTCCCCAACTGGATGAGTTTTCCAGTTTTCCACACGTTCGACTGGTGGTTTGTAACTGGGGTTAGCCATTTCGACATGGCATCATGGCATTGGCAGAATCCATGAGGGATTTAGGACCCGGGCTGCTGAAGCCATGGCCATTTAGTTCGTTGATTTAGCGCCATGGTGACTTTCCACTTCGACTGTAGGTTGACCTATTTGGTCACCACCAAAAAATCGTGGGATCCTGGTCGTCAGTCGTCGTCCAAGGCGACGCTTCATGACTATGACCTCGTGGTGGTTTTGGGGGACGGCGAAGTCATTGAGGTGGGGAGGCCTTCAGCGCTGGAAGAGGATCCCAGATCCAACTTCGCCAGCATGCTGGCTGCGGAGCGGGGAGGAGAACATTTCTGAAAAAAGTGCAGAAAGCTGGGAGAAAGCTGGGTCTGGTGGCAAATCATGGCGACTTTTGGACAGAATGATGAAGGATTCGGGATACACGATTTTCAGAGCTGGGGATGATGTTTCCTGTGTCTGGAGCAATGATTCGTTGATATTTGATGGTATGAGATGTTATTCAATGGGATGAAAAAAGTCTAGCCATGTCTGGGGTGAAATATCCTCTGGTAAACAAACATAGCTATTGAAAAGGGCCATTTACAGTTGATTTACCCATTAAAAATGGTGATTTTCCATACTTATGTTAGTTTACCAGAGGGTAAGCAACCTGAATGACTGGAATAAACGGCCCTGAAATCTGCGCCAGAGATTGGTTCGGGTTGAAACAAACAGCGCTGGGATTCATGGCTAGGAAATGAAGCTATTCAAGGACGAATCATAGGAGATTGAAGCAACATGTCTGGGAGCTAGAATTTCAATGGCAACTAGTGAAGAAAACTGATGATTGCCCTTTGGTAAACAGCCACATAACTATGGAAAATCACCATGCTATTAATGGGTAAATCCACTATTTCTATGGCCATGGCTTCAATAGCTTTTTGTATGTTTACCAGGCGGGGTAGCCTTCGGACACCTTCCCATGGCGAAGCAGATGTATGGTGGGATCAACGGGAGGTCAACCATCTATGAATTTCCCTTAAAAAATGGCAATGGCCCGGGGAGTTGTGCCATTTTCAGACACACCCAAATATCATGTCAAGTTGGGTCTATATTATATATATGTATATATATATATCAAATTATATATACACTATATATATATATGTATACATACATACTAAATACATTATCTATATACGAAATATATATATATATATATAATATCCCATGAAATATCCCTGTATCATTGGTTATTTCTTGTTGGAGATCTCCCATTTTTTCTTTGGGACTTTTCACAGGTACGTGATCCCAGCTCATCCCTTCCTCTCCGCTGAACATCGGAAAGTGGAATGACCAACGACCAGTCGCCACGACCAAAGAAACAGCTTGCGGAATGCTGCGGCTTGCCGATGTTCGACAGAATTTGTTGTCCGCATCCTTACTGGTGCTTAGTAGGGAATGAGGGAATGATCCACAATAACTAGTAACTAGTAATAATCATCCCAGCAACCCCCAGCAAGCCATCCATTCCCATTCACGATCGTAAAACGCAGCAGTAAGTTTTGAGGAGAATTTTGACCAAGAACTTGGGCGGGGGGGGATTTTGATTCGTGGGGACCCTGCAGACTCCAAAATCCTTGATCTCACCAAAAGGATCCCGTTGAAGTTGGCTATGCGCCCATGAGGACTTGGCCCGGCCTAAGTTGGAAGTTGCCATGGAAGTTGCACCATCTTTAAGTTCGGTAAATCAACGAAGTAAATGTGCCATGGCTTCAATAACTATGTAACAAATTAGCAGAGGCTAAGATAGCAGAATTTATGATTCCCATGTTCCTAAATTCGAATCGATCATATCCTATGAAGCATCAGTGGGGTTCGATCAGATTTTTATTGTCAACCCTATCGGATGATCCCTGAATATCTTATGTTATCTTTCAGATGGCTCCACCAGCAACCGGTCAGGCAGTAGAAAATCCAGCTGGAACACGGTCTGGAAGTCAGATTTGATACTCACCTGATCTTCATGGTGAACCTAGCTGTTTGCGGCCCAAACAATCTGACACGTAAAGACCTCGCGAATCTTGACGCCCCCTGCTGCCGTGTCCCCAGCCGCGGCGAATGTTGGTGTCATGTTTTATCATTGGGCCCTTTGAAATGGACGTCTGGACATTTTCCGAGTTTCATCCCAGTTGAAGGATGACCTCCAATAAAAAAATCCGATGAACTGCTAGAGTTCTGGAAAGGTATGGTCTTTAGATGTTTGTGGCTTGTTTTTTTCAGATGGACATCATTAGTGAAAATGGTCTGTCAAAGGGGCGAAAGCCAAGGCCCCATGGCTGGAGTAGAAGAGGAAAAGGTTGAGGTCGAGAAGGTGGAAGAGAAGATTGAAGAGAAGAAAGAGGCGAGCCCAGAGACTTTTTGGGACAGGGATTCAAATTATTGAACCAATTCTGGTTGGTGGTTTCAAACATGTTTTATTTTCCACAATATATTGGGTAATCCTTCCCATTGACTAATATTTTTCAAGATTGTTTTTTAACCATTAACCAGAATTTATAGCCGTCTTTAAATGGGAGGTTTTAAGACCTCCAAGTTCTTTGAGTTCGGACTTCAGGAAGGTACATATTGTTTGGCCTGGATGCGATGTGAGACGTTTGGAGGTGTGGTACACTCCCCAATATATATATATATATACATGTATGTATATAGCAATTTTGGTTGGAAAATGATGATGAACCAATGAATGTCCTACTTTGATGAGTAAAGCAGTGTTCAAAACCACTGGTTGATGAATCCATGACAGGGAATCCCTTCCTCAACTCCTCATGGTGGACGCCAGGGTCAAGTCAGAACTGGGTCACTGGGGATTTTCACTCCCATGTGGTATAGATTTTGGGATAAACATATCATAAAAATGACGATGACTGAACTGACTGAACTGACTGAACATCTAAAACGGCAGATTCATAGGGAGTATAGGATAATTAGGATCATCAATGGATTGGTTTAAGGCAAAATTTACAGGAAAGCCCCATATTTCATGGGAAAATCTATGGTTTCCTGTAGATTTTCCCTTAAACCAATCCATTGAGATCAGAAACCATCCGTTTTTCCCTGTTTTTCCATGTTTTTCCCACATCTATTTCTGTCAATCCATTGAGAAAAATCCACGTCAACATGGACCGATCTCATGGGGATCTGATCGCCAGGAGGTCGAACAGAAGGCTGAGGCTGAGGCTGACGGCTTCGACCGATCACCAGTTTGATGAGCAGAATTTTCTGCGAAAGTCCTGTTTGATGATTAGTTCGGAGATTTTTTGCTGCCCATTTTTGGGGGGATCATGATGATACAGAGGAATCCCTATGAAATAGGGATACGGGCGTTTCCAAAGTCATGGGGATACCCCAAGTCACCATGGTTCTTTCAATACTAAGTCATGGTCGAATAACTTGGATGATTTGGGGTACCACTATTTTAAGAAACATCCTCATGAGTGGATGATTATTTGGATATATTATTGGGATGATTACTGGCGGCTTTAGTTTAAAGGTATTTTTGAATATACATCCAAATGGCGGTGAAGACGTGTTTTTTTCCTCCACCAAAGAAGCGTTTTTTTTTTTTTAAATATTTATTTCACAGGACCGACCATGGGAATATGTGTCTAGGGCTACCGGGTTTCGCGGTGCCGTGGTGAGGGATGGCTCCAAGGCTTTTTCCACCATCCCCAAGAGCGATGGTGAAACTGAGGAATCCAGCACTGAATGGATCAAAGATTCACCACGAAAAGGGCTAGGACTTTTGGACAATGATACACTTGGTCATGAACTTTTATTTTGAACTTACTATGGATTGTCATTTTATGAGATGGTCATTACCCGATCCCTTGGCATAAACATTTTAGTGGTCTCTATGCCTACAACGGGGTAAGCTTGAAAATTCGACCAAGTTCAGCTCATTCATTTTCGCTCAATTGACTTACCTCAACGCGTTTTTCTGGGTCGCTTATGCACCTGTTTTTTTTTCTCGCTTGCTTAGCCCTGGGGACATGTCCATTTTGACCCTGATTTCTCGTGAGGCAGAAGCTGAAAAAGTCGAGAAAGCTGAGGTGGGGCCCGACTCCAGCCCTTTGTGGGCTGTGGAGCAGGTTCTCCGATTTCGACGCAGAAATTGGACATATCTAGATAGGTTGGCCTGAGAATGGGGCCCCAATAACCATTGGACTGGGGAACATGACACATTGGGACAAACAGAACCGGTTGTTTTATGGTTTTCCATGCATTGAATTTGCTGGGGAGAGCACCATGGATATTTGTATGGACATAAGTTGCAGGAGTCCACGGTAACCATTGAAGACAACAAGGTAGAACGGCAGGCAGTGTTTATCATAGCTGGAGAGTTTAAGTTATTTTGAACTTATCGATGAAAAATGATACACCCAAACTCTTGTTTACATTTCTTGACATGCACAAATAGCACACACACAGTCGTGATTCTAGTCTGAAATCGTCTGAGAGCTGTAGCAATAAATAAACACCTCCGTAACTTGCATCATATGTTGGTTTACCAGCGCCTACTTTGAATCTTGATGTTCAAAAAAGGATCCATCTCAGGCTCTGCATATTTCACCTATGGTTTGTCGAGTCCTGTAGGGTAGACACAGCACAAAGTCTGGTGTGTCGTTGGCGCGTTAGGCTGCCCTTTAGATCCTTTCGACAGCCTGCATGTCTTGGTTATTTCTTGAGGACTGGTTGGTTGGTTGTTTGTGTTTGGAGCATGGAGTTAATTTCCAAAAAGGCACTGCTCGTTGATGTCCGGCTTGAAACCTCTCAGAGGCCTTGCCAGCCTTGAAAAGCAGGACCACCCCAAAGCTGCACCGAAGACAAAGGCGAAACTCCAACGGCGAAACATCTTCAACCTCAACAGCCATCTGAATCTGCGTCCCGGCCGTCTGAACATGTCTGAACGCCGTTCCGAGAAAATTTCACAAGCGGAAGGAATCGCCGGCCCCTGAATCTCTAATCACTCTCAGTCACGTCTGACAGTTGGATTCTCGGCAGTTTCATCCTCTCAAAATCCCAGTGGCTGTGGCAATTGGATTTATGTCACATGGTCGCTGGTGCCAAAACGTGATCCGCAGGACAACTTGCCCAAGGTCGCTTGTTCCCAAACCGTGAAGCGCAGGGCCAAATTCCTGTTCTCACGAGGAAGGTGAGAGTCAGCATCTGTTCCAGGGTTGAAGGTGTCTGAGCTCCCAAAGTTGAAGAGCCATGGGTTTCTTAAGGCAAAGGAAGGACAATGTGCTGCAGTTAGACAGCAGGACTTCTCTCATGTTGTGGTCTCGGTTTCACATGCTGTGGCCAAAAACCTGCTCGAATCTGTACGAAGTTGGCCGAAGCCCATGGATGGGCCATCCCAAATGGGACAGCATTGGGCCTGGAAATCTGTCAGCACCATGGCTGAAACCCCTAAGAACACAACGCCGGAACACACATCTACATCCCATGTCTGCCATGGTGCTTCTCTGGCTTTCGAAAGGGACCCACTCGGTGCCCCTTTGGTTCGGGTTCAGGTGATGTCAGGTAGACTCGGTAGACGGCCCCAAAATTGGCCATTGGCTTTGACCATCCTGGGTTTCAGTTGCACTTCCATGGTACTGATGCTTCATTGTGGTTGCAGAGTAGTTTCTGATCCAGGAGATAGAAGTGTGTTGAGCTTCAGCTATCTTCAAAGGTTGCCTTCGGCCACATTTCCGGCCTTTGTTTCCAGTTCTTATCAGTTTTCACAAAAAAAAGAAGTTGTGAACCGAACTGAGACTTTAAATATCGGAGATCCCACGGCATGTTTTTCGCTTCTCCACCAGGTGAATCACGTAGCACTTGTCGCATCATCTCCGGTACAAGAGAATCCAATGGACGTACCCTGCAACTTTCTATTTGTCTGCTTTTGGAGTTGATTGTAAACAAATAATATATGTATATATTAGTTTAGTAATATATATATATAGAATAGAAGGCACACACACACATATGTATATATATATATACATAGAATAGAATACAACTATATATATATATACATAATGTAGAATATGTTTACAGTAATACATACGTAATACACACATATATATATATAATACGGTATAATATATATATATATTGTCAATACGTAAACTATGTGTATATATACAGATACATACATATACATATTAGATATATATGTAGCTACTATGTATAGTAAATAGATACGCACACACACACACATCTATACACATACAAACAAAATGTGTAACAACAATGTATATGCAAAGTATGTTTTGTATAGTATCGCTCACATGAAGTCTGACTGTCATGAAATTTGGAAAAACTGGGTTCAGAAAATGTTTTTGCACATGGATTGCTCTTATATGCATTTTTAGGGTGCCGTTCAATTTCAGGGGTGTACCAGATGTAGGCCAGTTGTTTTTTTTTTGGGACTTACATCCTCATACCGATACCTGTGATTCTTGATTATCCTCACTTTGGTTCAAACATACCTCCAAACGTTGGTGATTAAACAATGAAAAATTCTCACCCTTCGTTAAGGTGATTCTAAAGGCTCCATGATTTTATCATTCAATGTGAGGCCCCCAAGATAGCTAAGTTGGTTTATAACTCCAATAACTATGGTTTATGGTACGCAAATAACTATAGTTACTGGGGCTTTTGTTAACCAACGTTCACATCACTGGGCCTCACATTGTTGTATTTCCATCGCAATTTGTTGTTGGTATCCTCCATTTCGTTCTAGGGGTCCCCGAAGATAGAAACACATCAAATTTGAATCGAATATACTGTGGTTTCCAACAGAAGAGTGAATATAGTGAATCATGATCAAAATTGCTGAAACTTTATCGGTTTCTATCTATTTTGTTGACTTGTTTCTGTCCCTTGCATCTTGGATCCCCGGTCTGCTAGCCCAGGATCCGAACTGGTGTTTTGTGCGAACTGGGGAGCACTCCTGGGTGGTCATAGGTTTGGTCCGTGACTAATTTGAGTCACTTTTAGGGAAGAACATCTTTTGGTCTATGGGAATTTTAGGATCCTAAAATGGAGGTACGTTAGTACCATATAAGACCATATTTTGTTGGGATATTCCCTAAAAAATAGGCCTTATATATGGTAGGTACCTCCAATGAATCGGATCCTGAAATTCCCATTGATTTGGAGGTCACCACTTGAGGTCACTTTTTCGTCGTGATTTCTGTTGGAGTCTGTGGCCATCGTGTAGCGCCATGGGTTTTTTGGGCCCTAGGCCAATTGACGTGCTGAATTCGGGGGCTGAATTCGGGGACCACCCAAAAGTTGTGTTGTTATCTGCTATCAACATACTGTGGATGGGCCAGCGAAATCCTGCACCAGTTGCTAACTCTTGGTAACTATATGAAAAAAGTATATAAATACTGGGATTACCAGTTGGGATAAACCATAAAAACCAACTGGTGATTTCGCTGGCCCATCCACAGTTTAGTAGCCCAAAGATCAACGTCGTTAAACATCACCATCCAGGACTCACGGCGGCATTCCATGTCTTTCGGGGGATCGGTAATTCCCCAACCCCAAATCCAATGGTTTTTTTCAGCATAAACATCTTCCATCGGCCTGGCCGTCAAGAGTGAAAAGGGGCGACCATTTTTATCTATTCCGAGTCATTCATGTTGGACAGAGCCTGCAACAAAAATATGGTCATGTCATATATATCATATAGTCATTAATGAGTCATGAAAATGGTGATGTCTTAAATCACCTCTCGAGTCGTCGAGGTTGCAGAAGATGAGGACCATGTTGATCAAAGGGTGGGATCTGTTTTCTCAGTTTTTCGGGGTCTTTTCATATTTCGGCCCCGTTGATGTCCCGTTGATAGTCATGATGAACGAACCGAAACCAATGGATTTTGGTCGAATTTCATCGAATTTCAAAGCCGACTCTAGCTTTCATGGTTTGGGTATGGGTCAACCTTCAAAAATCTGATTTTGGCACTTGGAAACCAGAGATATTTTCACTGGTCATTTTGAGGGCCTCGATGACTTGACAATTGACCCATTGACCCATTGACCCAAAAATCGCTCGCTTTTTGGTGATGAGTCGTTGTGTCATAATTTTTTTCGCCAGTTATAAGTGGTTAATTAATCGTGGGTTGGAGGTTGATGAAATCTAAGGGATATATTTGTATATATGATTATATATGGAAATATGTAAAATAATTGTGAGGCCCCACTCACCAATGAATACACAACACCTGGCCATTCAAAGTGACCTTTTCATCGGTTTAGGCCACTTCACCTTTAAGATAGTCACTGCACACACTTTGTAGTTGGGTCACTTTGAACTGCCAGGCGATGCTTTTTTTTGGTTGGGAAATGGAGCAACGTGCACACCCAAGAAGTTGCGTAGCTGCGTAGCTTCTATTCAGAAGAGCTTCTATTTGGTCCGAAGCGTACAAAACCCCACAGAGCCTGCCAGGAGAATCACAAAAATCAGAATTTGATGGTTTTAATACAGAAAGGCAGAACAGAACACCCATCCAGAAAGTAGCCAACTTTCAGGTGGGGGTTCTCCTGGTGCAAGACACTCACCAAACACTCAGCAAACCCTCTTGTTGGGCGGGATGCTTTTTGCTTGGAGTTTCTTGGGCGGGATGCCTGACATTTTTTTCGTTGCCCTGACCGCCTGACCTGTGCCACCCTGCAGGACATGTGTTTACCCATGTTTGCTGTTTTCTTCGCGGAAATCCACCCTAAATTGCGACATTTTTGGACACGAGAGGGATCCGGGCTGTGTTTTTGAGAGCCCCTTTTTTAAGCAGAAATCCACGTGAGATTGCACTTCCCACAGAGGGTGATCTTTTGTTTGAGGCTTGTTGCAGCAGTTGAGGCCAGCTGGTCACAGAGAATTCCGGTTGGGAGGTGCTGATCTTCCATCCCGGATACATGAAATGGCCAGGGTTAAAGCCCAGGGTTTGATGGATCTCGATCTGCCCAAAAAACACATCAGCATTTCGCAGCAACGAAATGGATGTTCCAGGGCTGTCCGGCCCTGGCCCCCTGGTCCTTACTGTACTTCATCTTCAGCCAGATATTTTTACAAGACAAGACAAGCAAAAATGCGCATGAAAAGATCCAGTTTCGCCACAAATCTGGTGCTTCTGGAGAAAGGATGAGAAAGGATGAGAAAGGATGAGAAAGGATGAGAAAGGATGAGAAAGGATGAGAAAGGATGAGAAAGGATGAGAAAGGATGAGAAAGGATGAGAAAGGATGAGAAAGGAAGGTGGAGGGCTACCCACCTAGCAGAACGCACATGCTTACAGCTCAGATGATTTCGGTGTTCCTCCAAATTTGGAATTCCCTCAAACTGTGACTGTTCCCAACTGATCTCATATTTTTTGGGTGGTATTTCAGATTCCAAATCTGGGGACACCATGAAATTCATATGGGCATCGGAAAATCGGAACCCTTCCCAGCCAGAAAAAAACTCCAACGTCACGCCGCCTGTCTGATCCCCCGGCAAGTCCCATGCGTTCAGCGTCTGATACCTGCGGATGGATCAGAAGTGGAAGTCTTGTATCGAAGCCTCGTCACAAACTGGCGGAGGTGGAAAGGATCGGAAAGGTCAAAACCCGAAGTGATGCGTTCACGGACAGCAGCGGCAAACTGTCCGAATTTGATGCGATGCTTGGGGTGGCCCAAGTGGATGCTTGGAATCTAATCTGACAACTGACAGTCATTTCATACCCATCTTTGATTGCCGCCAAGAAAAACAACTTCATGTGGTTGGTGATTTGATTGCACCCTAGTATTAAATGAGTATCTCCTAAAATGATCCCAGTTATATGTGCACATCCCTCACTAAACCATAGGCCGCTGGATGGTTGATTGTGCAGTTGGAGCATCACCCAATGATCCCTAAAAGCGCTGCTTCCAATGAGTTATGTTTCGTTTAATATCACCCGAAAAAAGAAAACATAGTTAGTGTTATGGTCAGTGTTATGATTATGGTTAGTGTTCTGTGATGTGCTTAGAGTTATGGTTAGTATATGTTAGTATGATATCACCCGAAAAAAAATGCGAACATCAAACCACCACTCTTTATCATCGATTCCAAGATTTTGGGCCCCATTCCAATTCCAGTGAGGATTAGGGGGAAACGATCCCAAAAAAACGCTGTGATTTATCATGAAATTGATCCCATTATTGTTGCTTATATGTCATATGTGAAGGTCACAAGTTGGTGGTTTGGAACCATGGAATTTTATGACTTTCCCATCATATTGGGTTCATGTCATCATCCCAACTGACGAACTCACTCACTCCATCATTTTTCAGAGGGGTAGGTAGGTCAACCACCAACCAGGATATTATTAACCATCATGAACCATAATATAATAACCATTACTGTAATATCAACCATATACTAATAGTATATTACCAACCAATGGTAGGTTGAAACCACCAACCAGGATATATCTACACTATAGCCCCATTTTTTTCCTGACCATTGTCTGGATCCGAACGATGTCATCGCACCCCCGGTATTTCATGGTCATATCCCGAGGTGGACTATACATCCCTAGTCCATACCATGTCGAATTCCAATTGGATAATAGTTAATGTCAAACTATGTCAACCATGATAAAACTATATAAAACTATATATCAACCAATTATAAACCATTAGTTGACATAGTTTTATACATCCCATGTTTTTTCCAGGAATTTCATGGTCAAATCCATTTCGTTGGCGATCTGTCCAATCTTTTTGCAGGAGGAAAAGGAGGAAAAGGAGGAAAAGGTCGAGGAAAAAGCCAAAGAACCTGAGGAGCCAAAAGAGCTCGAGGCCGATGCAAAGCCTTTGAGCGGCCCCAAGGCAACTCGGTTTTTTGTCGATGTCGCCGTCTTCCCGGGGAATCCGGGAAGGATCTGATATTTGAAGCCAAACCAACACAACAATGAATATTGGTAATAGATTTGAAAAAGAAGCCAAGAGCTATGTTTAAGAACATCTTTTAGAACCATTTTATGTGTTTTTTTTTGGTTAAAATACCAACTTAAGCCATGGTTTTTGGGGATGGTTTTTCGAGTTCCACCACGACAGCTTTTGGGGATCTCCCCGATGGCTCGATGGGCAGGATTTTTTTCACCTTTTTCACCATGGTTAATTCATAATGATTGGTCATGTTTAATGGTTACTATGGTTAACAATGTTACTAATAATGGTTACTAATGGATACTAATGGTTACTAATAATGGTTACTAATGGTTAACTATGTTTAATGTTAATGGTTACTAATAATGGTTAATGGATGTTAATGGTTAACAATGGGAAAAAAAGGGTGAGAAATGGTGATTCCAAAAATCATGGTTAATGATGGTAAATATCATGGTCCAAAAATCTATATATCTGGGTAAATTTCATCACGACCTCACTGTTCTCCCTCACTGGAAATCATGGTTGGGAAATCATCCCCAAATGGCCGAACAATTCAGGTTGGTGAAATATTATAATTTACCCAGATCCCTAACACTTAACACACCTTTTTCGTTTGTCAAGAATTAGTTCCTCTACGTTTTTGTCGGCAGGTTGGTTTTGGCCATGTTTTGGCCTGTTTGGGCATCTCGGGGCCCCAATTTTTGTTGGATCACCTTGAGAGATCTTTCCTGGGATCCCCATCTGGTTGGTGGTTTGGAACCATGGAATTTTATGACTTTCCATATACCCTCTGGTTATGACTAACATAGCCATGGAAAATGGCCCATTTATAGATGGTTTACCTGGGTTTACCTATTAAAAATGGTGATTTTCCGTGGCTATTATGTTAAATAACCAGATGGTATTGGGAATGTCATCATCCCAACTGACTTTCACTCCATCATTTTTCAGAGGGGTAGGTCAACCACCAACCAGCCATTCAAAAAACAGCTGATCTTTTTGACTTCTTGGGAAAACTGCTGGGGGAGAATCGCAGGGTTTTTTTTGTGGGATACTTTGCAGATCACCCTTGGTGGCTTTTTGGATGGCCACTTGGTAACTTACCATCACCAGGGCTACCAGAAATTTGAGCTCCGGGACGATCCACTTCCATGAAGAACGGGGATTTTCCCATTGAACTTTCCAAAGCTGCCATTTTTGCTGGTGGTGAAAAATGGTGAAAACCCCTGGCAGCTTCAACAGAGGGGATATTTCCCCCATTTTTGCTGGTTAAACATCTCCAGTGCAGTTGTAGAATCCCTATTTGTGCATTGATGTCGGTGGCTTAATCCAGAGTCTAGTTGGATCATTCAAAAACTTCAAGCGGCCATTTGTGCTGGTCAACTCGCACTATTTTTAATGCTGGTCAAATCCCCTGTGGGTATGCGTCAAACCCCAGTACCCCTGCTGAACATGAAACTCGCTGGTGTTTAGCCTCTGATCCTCATTTTTATCCCAGTTTTACTATAGGTATCTTACAGGATGACCCCCCCCAGTGATGTTTGTTGGTTTATAACACCATCTAAATATAGTTATTTGAGTATCATACACCAGCTTGTTATGAAATAGCTATTTGCACCAACTTAGTTCACGAACTGGGGCCTCATCCTGTAGGTATCTTAGGTATCCATTGATCCAGCCATTGATTCCCCATCTGAGCTGAACTTCGGCCAAAAAGGTCAAGGGTTGTGCCTTGAACTTCGAAGACTCGACGCTGAATGTGATGCCATCCGGAAGACTTTTGAGGAGCCATGTGGGTAGACAGGAAGCTTAGTGGACTCGCATGAAGTAGAGTTGTATGTGTATATATTTAATGTCCACTTAGTAGATTATTATATGCTATATATTGTCATGATTATTTTGCAAGTGGAGTAGTTTACTAAGCAGATTGCAATTGAGTTTATATCATTTTCAGAGTATCTAAGATAAGATAAGGCAATGCTGCGGGATGTGCAGGACGCAGTCATCATAGGGATTTCACTGATAGAGTTGGATTTTACTGGCAAAGAAGCAGCGTATAGTATAATCTAATCTAATATAATATAACGACATATATTAGTATAACATGATATAATGCAATATACTACAATATAATATGATATAATACAATATAGTCATAGTATAAACATAACCTAATATGATATACGATATACTCGATATAATATGATATAATATCAAACACAGAGATATAAAACATATACTATAGTATAAGATAATATAATATAAGACAACAAAATATGATTATAATATGATATGATATAATATGACGTGATATGACATTGCGTGATATTATATGACATGACATGACAGAATACAAGACAGTATGGTATACTCTCTGGTGACCAAACATGGGTTTGCTGGACAATGCATCATTTATAGTTGATTTTCCCATTAGACTCTCCATTTTTGATGGGTATTTTCTCTTGGCATGTTGATTGTCAGAGGGTAACATGATGTATTCACTAGGGCAATAATCCCATAGGAACCAGGGGTATACCATGGCTAGATGACCTACATGGAATTCAGCAATCCATAAGATAAACAGATTGGGACCAGTGGGTAGTGAGGTGTTCTAAGTCCACACCAGATTGGATGATCATCTGACGCCAAGAGTGTCGACTCTTTGGGAATGAGGTTTTGTCCATTTTTTTTTTTGGGGGGGTCTTGTCATCATATTTTTGAAGCCATGCGTCCAGGACACTCTCGGAAGGAGGTATGGGCTTCCTGCTCGCTTCAGTGCGAGCCAACACAGGCCTGGGAGGTTGAAGCCAAGCCCTGATTTCACGAAGTTGAGGGGTTCAAGTGCCTGGCACGGAACATCACCTGAAATGGTCGAAATGCTGGAGAGTGGTTCTGGGCCCGAAAAAGCCTTGATGAGCGACGGGGATTCTATGGTTAGAATGAGGATAGAATGAGATGTAGAAGGGCATAGCTAGTACTGAGTAGTACGCTACATCCTATTGCTAGTCATTTATCCAATTGATCCCCTTCTATCTAAAATTACATTTTCTTATACAGTCAAAAACCCCCCATTTGGTGAATCACGAGGATCCATTTCTGGAGGCGTGAAGTCCGGGCGGTACATGTTCGAAGCGCGCATCGTGGAACAACTTCCAGTCCAAGAGGCTCATGGTGCTCGAGTGCCACAGCCCAAGCACCTGCTCCGAATAGGTGTCCTGGCATTGATGTGCGTTGGTCAGTTGCTAACAATACAATCATATATAATATTCATATAATAAAATATAGTAATATATAGTACTTATAGTAATATATAATATAGTAATATAGAATAATATAGATTTATTGATATCTATATATATAATAATACATAATGATATAGTAATATGTAGTCTATAATATATAGTAACATAAAATAATATATTAATATATAATAATACATAATAATATACAACAATATATAGTAACATTTAGTAATATACACACTAATATACAATAATATATAATATTAGTTAGGATAGGCCTTGCCCATCTTCCAACTTATCAAACCCAAAACGTTTGAAAGCCACCTACCATCTCATCATCAACAAAACCATAGAGGGGGACACACACTTTCCAAATTCCAATCAAAAAATGGTCAAACTCATCTTTTTTTAACAAGTCTCCAAAAATCATAGTACTAGTAGTAATACATAGTAATATATAGTAATATAGCATAATATACAATAATATATGATAATATAGAATACTATAATAATATAGAATAATATATAATAGTATATAGTAATATATAATAATATACAATAATAATATATAGTAATAATACTAATATATATAAGAATATATAGTAATATAGAATAATATAGAAACATATATAGTAATATACAGTAATATATAATACTATAGAATAATATATAATAATATGTAATATATAGTAATATACAGTAATATATAAAAATAAATAATACCATATATCAATATATAGTAATAAAAACAAATATATAACACTGTATAGCAATGTTTAATAATATATCATAATACATATATAGTGAATTATAATGATATATAATTGTGTTTTCATATATTAGCTAACGACCAAATGGTTGGCAACATGATCCTGGGCAAGATATTTTGAGAGGCATTTTGCGCGTCGACACCTTGGCCGAAAGCATGTGTTGCATGGAACAGCATGGAAATAGGACCTCACTGTAGATGACTACCCTCTGGTAATGACTAACATAACTATGGAAAATCACCATTTTCAATGGGAAAATCCACTATAAATGGCCATTTTCAATAGCAAACTGTTAGTTTACCAGAGGGTAATCCGGGAAATCATCCAAAAAAATAACATTTGGGATGATATCTGACATAGATTATGATGATTATACACTGTAAACATAATCTTAAAATATATGATGAACATTATATATGATTTGTATGATGATATCTGACATCTATTAACATCATCCAAACAAATGTAGATGATGTATAGACACTGTAAATGATGATATCTGACTGAAATGGGATGCTCCAGCATTTTGTTTGATGTATAGATGGCTAAAGGCGACCCTTGAACTTCAAAGGCAGTTGAATAACTAACTGGGGTTATGTGGTAATCCCAAAAGTAAATCTCCAAGTTAAGATGGCTTAAACCATCCATTCTTGAAGAAAAATTAGGGATAGCTATTGGGCTTGGCGGGGGGATCAAGGTTTCTAGCTCCATCCCTGGGGGATGGTGATGGGCTGGTCACGACCACGATTTGACGGGTCCGCGGTTTGGTTTTTTTGGGAGGTTGAACGTTCGATGTTTGCAATTTCGCGAGAGATTTCACCTTTTTTGGAGGATATCACTCAGCCATGGGTCCCATGACTTTAATGCTACCATTCACTGCCCATTCCTGGTGGCTGATAGGAGAGGTGAAGGAGCAAGAACATTTGCCTTTTGGATATTTTCGGGCGGGATTTCTTGCAAAGACCGCCAATTTTACCCTCCAGTAAACAAATAAACACCTGAGGAAAGTGGTGAATTTATCGATGACCACTCTTAACCTATGAAACATTTCAATTTTCCAGGTCGCACTGTTTGCTAGATGAAACCTAGAGGCTAAATCCCAATCCCAATGAAATCCCAATGAAATCCCATTAAATCACCATTAAATCACCAGTAAATGATGGGTTGACTTTATCCCGCAATCTTCCTGTTGACTCTCTGCCGAGGTTTCACCCTGGAAGGTAGCTCCCTCTTTTTGGCCGATGGCACAGACAACGTGGCTCGCTGAAGTTCGAGGAAAGATATCCCCAAGACATAGCGATGATAATCCAACATGAGTGCTTTTGATGTGTGTATATATATACATACATGTATACTGTATACATATATATATATACAGTACACACATATATATATAATTATATATATACACACATGTATATATATATATACACATACACATGTATCTACACGCACATGTGTTTTTCAGTTGTGGTTCAGCAACTGCCAGCAACTTTTTTTTTCAGGTGTGCTTCGATAGCGAGGGCTTCTACACCTTCGGCAAAACGCGCACCAAGACGGGGCAGAAGTTCGTCCGCGACCAGACCGTTGCGTTGCTCGTAAATTTGGAGGAAGGCTCGCCCAACCAAAACACCGTGCTTCGGCGCAACGTATGGAAGATGTCGTAATATTGGTAAGTTGAACACATTGAAATGGGGATGGGTCAATACCTACACATACCATTTTTAGGGGGATGAACATCCATTTACCAGCTATTTTGATGTCCACCAGGGGTACAAGGTTTTGACACACATTGACATATCGTTTCTTTGTTTGGTGATTTGGTGTGACCGTTATTTTCTTTTCGTCCTTTGTCCGGTGAAACTTGGGGACTTTCTGTTTGAGTTGCACTCCCAACAGGGCTTGTGATGTGAGACATTGCCAAACAGTTGGGATGGGGTTTTCTAGTTGAAGTGCAACAGTGTTCGGGCGCAAAGGACATCATCCCTTCCCACTTTCACAGGAAACAGCCCCAGAAATCATGGTGGATGTAGGGGTATTTACCACGCATACTTGGGACCATAGAATGGTGATGTTTTTGAAATTTGAAATGGGTTTAATTAAGGGCTGCCGCCCCTGCTGCCAACCCCGGAAAACAACATTGGCATTGAAAGGCGGTGATTTTCCAGGTCGATACGTTAAATAACTTTTGTGGATGGTTGTTTTTTTTTTGGTTTATACTCATTGGATCTTACTGTTTTTTTGGATGATAATAAACAATCATGGGGATATCCATTTGCCAGCCACTTTGGGATGGTGGTATGTTCACGGGGTGATAGTTTCAACGGCTGTGTCTGAAAGTTCTCATTTTGGAAGGCCAAGTGGGCAGTGTCCAGAGACTTTGTGGCCTGGTGAGGTAACAATCTGGTTATTTTAACGTTGCTATGGAGAAGCACCATTTTCAGGAGGTAAAACATAATTCCCATCATCCATAGATGGCCCATGGCTGCCATAGTTTGTTAAAAAAACTAGAGGGTAACTATATGTGTAGTATGTGTATACATAATATATATATATATATAATATAATTGTGTATGTATGTATATATATATATATCATATATATCTACATTGTATATTTGAGGTTATATACTACTTGATTGATTCGGCAATACCATGTCCCGGAACATCGACGTTTGCGAGCTTTCCACAGCGCGGCAGCCCTTCGTCTCTGTGGTCTACGTCCATGCGCATGATACGACACAATTTTAAGCCAAAACATGCTAAAGCTTTTTATTTCCCCGGAGACGTACAGAATAGATTTTGCAGGTATGGACAAAAATCCAGGGTTTTCCCAGGAACATGGCGGATTTGCCGGATCTATGTTGATTTACCAGGGGGTCTTGTGTGCTTCTGTTTGAATATTTCCAGCCAAACAGAGAAGAACAGATCTGGGGTCTGAACCGACAACAAACGAGCTCCCGAAAGCTTGCTATTTGCTAGTTTCGGGGCTGCCCCCGCAGAGCCTTAGCCCCATGCTGCTGAAGGACGGAACCGGCCCGCGGCCTGCAGCTTACGGTGCCTAACGTTGCTTTCTGAACGGACAAGAAACTAGCTCCCAAAAGCTTCTTGCCTTCTTGCTTCTTGCCCCTTGCAATGACTTACTTCTTGCCCCTTGCTGCTGTTAATTTCTCCTCTGACGCGCTCCCCCTGCTGCAAGCGGGGTCGGCGGATATAGGATGATTGCGCTCATCCATACGTGGAAACGAGTCTTGAAGGGATCCAAACCATTCTTGATCAAATGTGGCTGGCCGAAAAGTCCCATTTTTCGGTGGGAGAATCATCTATAATGGGTAAAGATTACGTGTTGTTGGTTTTCCGTCGATCTTCCATTGCCACAGGATGCCATTTTCGTAATTTATTGGTTGATGTTCACCCATCAAACATGTATCCAGCATAAACTCATCCATCCGGTCACCCATCTATACTGGTGACAGCAACCCCAAAAAAGATAGAAGTGCGTAAAATCCAACATCAAATAGTAAACAAATCTTTTTCTGTCTTTTTTGGGGTTACTACTGTAAACAGCCAACTTACCTATCGATCCTATCGTGGCAAGCGTTGCTGTGTGCGTTGGTGCATCTGAGGTGTCGTTGTTCGTGAACGGCGCGCGGGCCTCCAAACCCCAGAAGATTCCAGAGAATATGTGCGGCAAGGCGCTGTTCCCCACGATCACCTACAGGACAGCCTGGGTTGGGTAGGTCAATGGCCCCAAAGATCTGGGTAAAACATTCATAAAATTTCCCCCAAAAAATCGCACAATTCAGGTAAAACGTTTGGATTTGAGCAACAAACATGGGGAATTCAACCAACCCCCCACTTGTGTGACCCAAGAATAATGATGTAGTCGGGGTTTATTAACCACCAACCACAACAATACTACGGGAGGATCTCAACGATGTACGATTGGTGGATAAGTTTTTTTGGGGGATGGTTTGGATCCCGATGAAAAGATCGGGGTAAAATATGGGGATGTACGAAAAAACATTTTTTTGAAATTATCAGCCTCGACAATAGATGGGTTTGTCAACCCGTTGATTATCTGTAAATCACCATCTAGACATCAACCATTCTTTTTCTATTCAACACAAGAATCACCTCCCAAACCTTGGGCTGAATCCACAGGAGCTTTTGCTCCCCAACAAATCGCCAGCAACCACCAGGGTCTGTCCGATCGAAAAAAGGTATTTTGACAGTTGAGCACCTCGTCTTTCCCATGGCATCATGGTCATATATTGACAAAAATATCATGTTGTTGCTTCATGCTGCAAACCTATATCGCATTAAAGTATCCCAATGAAGTTTAGGATATATCCGAATATATAATCCTAAAATTATGTTTATCACTTTTGGACAATCCCAATATTAAAGTCCTAAGCATAAAATTTTGTATCCTCATATCCATCCCCATATCTCCCTGCCAGGAGCATTTCGTTGGAAGTGAACCTGGGCCCGGTGCCCCGCAAAGCGTTGCCCTTCAGCTGTCACATGATCAGCTCGGCCACCCAAGCTGACACGGTGCAGAATGTCAGCAAGAAGGGCAAGAAGGAATGCATCTTTCCGGTGGGACTTCCCGATCCTTGGATGAAGATTGGGACCATTTATATGAACATATATACATATATATACATAAATATATATACATATACATATATATGTATACATATATATATATATATGTATACATATATATATATATATGTATATATATATATATACATAAATATATATACATATACATATATATGTATACATATATATATGTATACATATATATATATGTATATATATATATGTATATATGAACATATATATATATATTTATATGAACATACTTACATTACATTACATTACATTACATTACGTACACATATATATATATATAATATACATACATACGTACATATATATATATATATATAAACATACATACATTATATGAACATCTATTTATGTGTATACATATACGTATATTCTTTGGAGATGTTCTTTTTGAGATTTCAGAGAACATGTGGAAACTCCAGAAATAGTTTTAAAGGCTTATCCAAGATGGTAGACAGCAAACAACATAGCTTTGGAACCGGGTCACAGATTTTGATTTGAAATCAGCAAACATGGGCAAAAGATGATAGACGTCTTGGATTGTCTTGGTATATCATCTAGTGAACTTGCAAAAACATGGGACACTGTATAACAAAAACATGGCGGATATAAAACATGGTTAGCAAATTTGGGTTTGATGTGTGGTGGAAGATGCCACATTTAAAAGTGGGGAAACAATCTTGAAATGTCGGGTTTTCAGGGGCAAAACTAGGGTTTGGCAAGGACATGGGCATCCAATGATTAAATATAGATAAATATAGTAGATCTATGTAGATCTGGGATGATATGGGCATATCATCCATATGTGCCATGATCAAACTTTGGATTATGTACCCACATTGGGGGATGGCAGAAGGATTCCCTTTAAGGATGGTGGATGACCATGGCTTTCCCGTATGCCATGTCTTGACCATGGCACGTATGGATACGTATGGGTATATCATTTTTTGAAATGCGCAGCAAACCTGAAGAATGTCAACAACCATAAATCATGTCCTTGTAGTTGAAAAACATAGAACAATATGAGTAAGAACCGAACAATATGAGTAAGAACCGAACATATGTGGGATATACAGTGGATAAGATACTATACAGTAGATAACTATAATATTTAAATAGACCGTAGGTTATAGGATATACAGTATCAGCATTAAAAAATACATATAGGTATAGATATGGTAGATACCCTAGGTTGTACACACATATGTATATATATATATATAAATGACACATCATCTATAGCTTTCAATACTTGGAAATGGGTAGGACCCTTGGATTACCGGCTGACTAAAGAGAACTTGAGGTTTACAATCAGGAAAGATAATGGTGGAACACATGATTTCCAGTAGCAAAAATCATGGATATTGGGTGTGTCAAGACTTTTGACATGGATGGAGGTTTAACAGTGCTCAACAAAAACACACACACACATATATATATATATATAGACATCTTTGTAGAACATTACATTCAAACAATCCCCCAAGCCAAGAAAATCGACCAAGTGGGTTGATCCCTAGTTTTCTTATAAGTTCTGAGGAGTTGGCGTGCTTCACCATGGATATCCCTGAAAGTCAGTGATGACCTCATGAATCACTCAGCCTGGTAGCGAGAATCCACGGGAATCCATGCTTCATTGGAATTTTCGAGGGAAACATCATCTCAGTATAAGTAACAAAACAAGGGTCTGCAAACGCAAAACATTGGGAACCGAAGCAACCAAAGTTCGAATTTAATCACGAAGTGGAAATGCTCCAGCTTATAGTAAAACAAACTGGAAATATCATCTACGAATCTACACATGTAATTAAGTATCGGTATCTCTAAGAAGTATATAGTTTAACAAAGGATAACCAGCAGGATTTTCGGGATTTAAAACTACCCATCCAAACCAGCAGTTGACCATTGGTCGATGATCTAGCCATGTCAATCATAGGCATGTGCCCAGTGGAACACTGTTGGTGGATATAGGTTTTACTACCTGCACTAAGTAGACAATATAGGAACCCCAAAAGATAGACACCTGATTTACCAATATTTTCATTTTCGTGATGAATTAGTTTTTGGGTTGCTATAATATGGTTTGATATGGCAATACATATCAACCAACCAGTGTTTTGGGGTTTGCTGATATGTATACATATATGTATAAATGTATATATGTATATACGTATATATCTATATATGTTTACATACATGTATATATATAGTTATATATGTATATATGTATATACATAGATCTACAATTGCAAATCTACATATCTATATCATCGTACATCTATGTGTATGTATATATATATTTCTCTCTCTCTCTCTCTCTTTCTAAACATATGTATACATGTACACATAAGGTCTGTATCATCAAAAATAGATATATATTTCTATATCCATATCTACATCTACATCTATATCAATATGTATCATATATTTATATATACATGTATGTGTATATATATATATATGAATAAATAATTAACTAGAAATAAATAAATAAATAAATATATATATATACATATATATATACACATACAGCCACATCTACATCAGCCGCTATCAGGAGCAGGGCTTCTTCGATTGGTTGGACGAGTTCCTGGAGAAAAATCCGGGATTCGTGGAGCTCTCGGACCGAAAACTCATCGAGTGGGCCTTCAAGAGCGGCTTGGGACGACCCAAAAAAGGCAGCCCCGGGGCTGCCCCGCGCGGGGCTGAGAAAAGGGGGAAATCGTGCGGGGCTTGGTTTCTTTTTCCCATTTTTTTCCCGTTTTCGTAGAGGGGTTGATGTAGTATGAATTGCTTTTTCGACAAGAAATCGTAAATGGGATGAAATATGGGTTATATATGGGATTATAAACCACGGTTATCCGATTCGTGGGGCACGCACATCCAAGAGGTGGAAGGCTTCGGAAAGGTTTGGAAACGTGAAACTTGAAATAGTGATGGAACACTTTTGAAACATAGGAGATTGATAGAACTCTAAGTTTGGAGGAATTGCAAGAAGTTTGTACTCAGTTCACAATTCACTATTTCAACCGTTGGGGTTATGGTGATGAAGTAACTATACTTGAATGAGGGTTTCTTCAAATGGGGAGATCCCCAGTCGTCACCATGGTTGTTTCAATACTAAGTCATGGTCTCATGACTTGGATGAGAACTGGGGGTATCCCCATTTTAGGGTAACATAAATCCACATAAAACATCACAATGTGGCACCCTGCAAGGGCCAATGCAACCAGGACTGCCCAAAGATCTGGGGTAAATTCGCAAACAAAAAATCCAGCGGTCTGGGCAAAACACAACTGGTTTTTGTGACATGTTTCTGACTTTTTCACTGCCAGCCACATGCCAGCTATTGGACGGATGAAGCCGATGAAAAACGGCTGTTTTGGACCAGTGGGAACCAAAAACTCCAAACCCGCCCCGCTGGTTGGTTTTGGTGGCGTCGGCCAGTTGATGAAGCTCCCACATTTGTGCTGGTTGACCCTGCTGGTTGAACATCCATTGTTGATGCTGAAAAGACACAATTGACTGTTGACGAAGTCTATTTCCTCGGCTTTCGGTCGTCATTTCCTATTTTTTGTTGGTTAAATCAGTTAAATCACATATTTTTCCGGTTAACCCCATTAACACGCACCTTTTCCTAGTTACCGTAGCCACCCCAAAAAGATGGACATGTCATTTCCCAATGACTACTTTGCTCACATTTTCCAATTGATCGGCCTCTAGAATCGTTTCGCCATCCCAAAAATTGCCCATTTCACTTTACCATCATTGTATACCCTCTGGTAAACAAACATAGCTATTGAAGCCATGGCCCAGTCGAAATAGTTGATTTACCAATTTACCCATCAAAAATGCTGGATCTTTCCAGTTCGTTATGTGGCTGTTTCCCAGGCCGGGTAAACCTCCATTTTCCTATGGTTTTCCTATGGTTTTCCTATGGTTTTCCCATTAAAACCTTCATTTTCCTATGGTTTTCGTTTTTTTTTTGGGTTTTCCCGTTGTAGGCGGCTCCAACGACAAGCCAGACATGACCTTCAGCAATCCCATGCTGGACGACGGCTCCTTGAAGCGCGTGATGCAGGCCATCGCTCCGGCGCTGCAGCGAAGCTTCGTGATCCCGGAGCTCAAGAGCAGCTGGAAAGAAACATGACCGGCTGAGACATGTGCTATATATATATATTATAATATAATAATGATGTATTTATGATGTATATCTATATTTGTACATATGATGTATATCTATAATAGTATACATATAATGTGGAAAACGATCCTCTGGCAAAAACACACAGAGTGCACTGGAAAATGGTTGAAAATATGGTCATTTTTGCAAATTTGACCTATTTTTTCGAGATTTTCCACTTCGCTATGTGAAGTGACCATCGAATTTTCATCCATTTTCAATAGGTAAAGGCTGATTCTCCGGAGATCGGCGGTTTGATTTCGGGGAAGATTTCCCCATGGGCTGATTTGGTGATTCTCTATGTGATTCACATATCAAGTTCGTGATCAAACACGGGCTGACATCCTGGCCTCCGGCTAAACCTGGGAGGCCAAGCGGCCAAGCACTGGTTAAAATACAGCGAAAAATCTGACTTGTTTTCATGGATATGATGACTACTAGTCAGTCATTACCCTCTGGTAACAGTTGGACCCTGAAAATAACCCATTCTTAGTGGAAACTAATCTTCCAACCCCTATTTGCCAGGGTCTATGTTAATTTACTGGAGGGTAAATATAAATATTTTGTATACTAACCAAAGCCACGAATTTCGTGATCTTTTGCAGGGTATCTAAGATTTGCTTATTGTTTTACCCACCCCCTAAATGGTCCCAAAATGATGCGTCGTTTTCCTATCCAACCATCGTATTCTTACTGTATGTCACTGGAATGCTGATTAGGTCGGGGAATAATCCCCATAGCTGGCCGTAACTTTCTGCTACTTTTAGCTTAGTGCATTGAACATCATTCAGCCAGAATATCGAATTACTTAGCTATAATTCCCCCATGTATAGATGATTTTCCCAGCTCTAAACCTCCATTTATAGATGATTTTCCCATAAAAAATCCACCATTTTTCAGCCATCGCCTAATCCCCGGCGCCGCCGCCTGTACTTCCCTAGGCAACCTGGTCCCTGCGGAGCGCGCTGGGGCGCTGGCGAAGTACTTGGCGCAGGATTTCACCCGCAAGGCCATTGTGGTGATGGGTGAACCGCCCAAGGGGTACAAGGACCACGGGCCGCACGGGGCGTTGTGAACCCAACGGCAACGGCAACGGGGAAGAACGTTGCGTTGCGGTTCGTTTTTAAAAAGAACGGATCTGGTGTTTTGGGATGTTTTTCTCTGAAAATTTGGCAGCTTTTTTTGTGTATTCCCTCAAATAGGCTATTGAAGATCATGATAAATTAATGGATTTAGGGATACCGGGATACCCGATTTTCAGACTGCACATCTCAAATGGTGGGATGGTGAGATTTTCACTGGACAAAAGTTGTTGACATGCTTTTTTTTCTTAACACAACATACTGCCTTTTATTTTTATTTTTAAAACAAAATCCTGTGCTTCAAGTGATTTCCTCTTATATGGAAATCGATGGGATACAATAGGGAGTCCAGTAACAAATGAAATCAACTGGATGGATAAGTTGGGTACAACTTCATCCTTTGCCATACAGGGGGCTATGAACATTGTAGCAGCTATGTCTCAATTTGTTTCAGGATATCTAATCTAAGGTTAGAAGTGTGATTCTAGAAAACATCTATATGTGCAGATTTGAGCGCAAACACTGGGTTTAGCAGGGGATGAAGTAGTAGATTTAAGTATGAGATGCACCATGGTTTAGTAAGGGATGAAATCATATATTTGGGACCATGCAATTGCGGTTTTTAAACATACTTTGGGGCCAGCATTATTCTGGAGACATGGATTATTCATCTATCACATAGGGGTTCAATCCATGAATCGTTGTTCTTCCCATTTCTTCACAGCATTTCACATGAAAATCCTCAAACTAGCTGCTGGTGGATGTTTGTTTCCCACAACATTCACACTGCAAGTGGCATACCCTCTGGTGAACTAACATAGGAATGGAAAATCACCATTCTTAATGGGAAAATCCACTATTTCTATGGCCATTTTCCATTGCTTTTTGTATGTTCACCAGAGGCATAACCCATCCCGATCTCAGTACTGTACTGTCCACCACTGAACTCCAGGGACCACCCCCCCCGGCGGGCTCCCGGCGCTTAACCGCCCGTAGGAGAGGATTCAAGCGATGATGCTTGCTGAGAAGACGACTAAGGCTGAGCTTGAAAGGACGAAGAAAGAGAAGCTGGGCATTTTTTTGGGGCATTTGATCCATTGATTGGTTAGTAACTGGCGTATAACGCACAAAATACGTCAACGTATTGGATTCTGACACATTTATATACTAATCAGTTGACTAATTTACTGGTGCTAAGCACAGGGAATGAGGGAATGATCCATAATCACTAGTAATAATCATCCCATTCCCCCATTCCCTACTAAGCACCAGTAAGTTTATTGCTTGTAACGTTTGTAAGATCATTTGGGACTCAGACATTTGGGAATCAAAATGGCTAGCAATTGAATAACGGTATCTTTTTTAGGGGATAGAATTGGCAATGAGAGGAATGGGAATGAGGCATTTCTTTCTTGACCATCAAACATATAGGAGGAATTAACACCATCTAAAATCATGGGCGAATTGGGCAGTTTCCTTTTGAGCAATGCCGAACAATGCTTGGAAAAAGGGAGTTGCTCACAAACAACCATGCTTCTATTTAGTTGATTGGCAATTGATAAGCTATCAAAACGTGAGGTTTCAAAGGGAATTGCGCACTGGAATGAGTGCTTTTTGAAGTGGGTATCCAACCCATGTTTGGACAACCCCATATATCATATGATATCCCCAATATATCCTGATGATATCCCCAATATCTCCAGACTTTTCATGGCTAAATCACGTTTTCCATCCATCCTTCAGTCACTTGAACGAGCGGCCGCGGCTTGTTTTTTTAATCGGCTTGTAAGGAAAGAAGACGAGCGCAAGAGGCTGTTGGAACTCCGGGCCAAGAAGGCACAAGAGGCCAAAAACGCCAAGAAGGGCAAGGTGGGGAGCCCTTTGGGTGGAGGGTGGAGCCCTTTGGGTGGAGGGTGGAGCCCTTGGAGCTTCCACCGGAAAATCTGGGGTCAGCCACCCCGCAGAAATCAGTTGAGTTGTCTTTAGACAACTTGGGAGTGGATTTCTGCTGAAGCAATTTTTTTTTGGGGATTTCACTCAAGAATGGATAGATTGGGGTTGTTTGAAACTATACCCCAAACAACTTATATAATGGTTAAAGATGTTAAAGCATGTCAATCCTTGTTTTCCAGATTAATATGGTCATTTTGAGGTCCCCCTCTTTTCAGGCACACCCATATACAAAAAGTTTGGTCAAACTTCGTTCAGCTTTCTGACGCAGTTCATAGGCCATTTTGAGGATTTCCCATTCAATAGTTTAACGGGAGGTCAAAGAAATCCACCATGTTTTACAGATTTTTCTGAAGCACACATTCTTTAAAGATGTTTTTTTCGCATAGGTTTCCAGGATTTTCTGTGAGGTCCCCATGTGGGACCTCCCTTCACTGAAAAATCGACGGCAGGATGCCAAAGAGACTGAAGAAGCCAAGGAAGAAGAACCGAAGGCAGAGGAGGACTTGCAGCGGAATCATACCATGTCATGAGGCGACCGCACAAAGGTACCCCGAAAATCGATTCTGGGGGACCATGGGTATCCAAAGCTAACCCTCCCCCAACACACCATTTACAGATGATTTTCCCATGAGAAAAACCCATGGAAAAAACCAAGAACCGCCACCTGGTGGATGGGGCCCCTCCAGTTATGTTTGTTGGTGAACATAACCCCATCAAAATATAGTTATAAGTATCATACACTATTGTTATTATAGTTATAAACCAACTTAGCTAACGATTTGGGGCCCCATCCTGTGGAGGATGTGAAGATGGAGGAACCCGCGAAGGTCGAATTGACCGAGGAGGAGAAGGCCCTGCTGTACCGCCCCATGGAGCTACCTGACCTGAGCGAACGCCACTCGGCCTGTGACAGGTACGGTCCAAGCGCTACAAAGCATGGGAAAATCCATAGAATCATAGAAGAATCATAGGTCATAGGGAAAATGAAGGTTTGAGTAGGAAAAGTCAACTGTAAACACTGTAAATCTTGGAGTTGCTGGATTCTTGACTTTTTCACTGAGAAATATCGCCATTTGGGGAATCTACAGGGAAGAATTTTATTTTTTTTCGGGGGTTCCGAAACAGCAGATGATGAAAATCAAATGGAGCAGAGATCAGCCGAGATGAGATTGGGCCTGGTGATGTCTTGTCACGAAAGGTAGCCTAGGCTACCTGAGTTCTATGTACTTTAGTACTAGTTTAGTACTGGGGGAGGTGGGTGGTCCTTTCCCGGAAATTGAGACCCGAGAGTCACGAACGGAGACTTAGGGGAGAAATTGGGCCTGGTGATGCTTTGAACCCAAGTGTTCCAATTGAGAGGAACACTGTATATACGCTGTATATTTATACTATATATACACACTATATACGCTATATATATATACAAATACGATATATATATATATATACACGATGTGTATATATACGCGATATATATATATATATTCACACTATATATATATATATATACACATACATATATATATATATATACACACTACATACATATATGTATATACAATGTATATACGATATATATATACACACACTATATATATATATACTACATATACTATATATGCTATATATACACTATATATACAATATATATACAATATATATATACAATATAAATACAATATATATACAATATATACTATATATATACGATATATACCATATGCCATATATACCATATATACCATATATACCATATATACCATATATACCATAGATACCATATATACCATATATACCATATATATACTATATATACTATATATACTATATATACTATATATATATGCTATATATGCTATATATATATATATGCTATATATGCTATATATACTATATATACTATATATGGTATACATGGTATATATGGTATACATGGTATATATGCTTTGAACCCACGTGTTCCAGTTGAGAGGAACACTGTTAATATACAATGTATATTTATACTATATATAAGTTGAAATATATCGACCCCTGAGCCCCACCATGTATAGCATGTGCAGGTAGGTCTAGTGTAGGCATAATGTAGCTATGAGTCCCAATTCAAAGTAGCTATGAGAACCAATAATTCGAGGTAGCACATTTCAATATATGTACAGTTAGCACCCCTTATCTAGAAGCGTTAGATGAGGAGTGTAGCCATAATTAGAGAAGAGTACATAGTAGTCCCTTTACCCTAACAACTACCTGGGTAGGGGCTAACTTTATACGTCTTCGACGCCTTGGCTCAAGTGCCCAAAAGGAGCTGGGCGCTTGTTGTTTTGAGGATGGGGTTACCGAAGGATTTCGTGGGTGGTTTTCCTGTTCAGTTCCCTGTTTTCACTGGTTATCAGCCGTAAGGCTTTTTGGGGGAAATCGAATCCTTCGGTAACTTCTGATTGATTTAGGCCCCTTATACCTTCGCACTTTCGCTCACTGTTGCATGCCTTCAGAGGCGTCTGAGGAGGTCGCTGCTGATCCCAGCGCGACAATCCAAACTCCAGCGAACGAGGGCGAGGAAACAGCGGACGCAGAAAGGGTTGAGCTCGCTCCCTGGACTGTGGAAGCAGTGACCAGACCCGTCGTTTCCTGGGCAGACGCATCTGAAGAGGTACAGCCCTCCGTGTCGTCAACAAGTGTCGAGCATTCTGCTGAAGCTGACCGATCTCAAGGACAGTCAGTCGAGGTGAAGGAAGAGATCCAGGACGAGCAATCTGTGGGTGAGGTGCTTGTGCCTTCGTCACTTGAAGCAGCCGACAATTTTTCAGTGGAGGTCGCTGGTGGTAACACCGCGACGGACGAGGTTTCTGAGGAAATAACTTTTTCTGAGGTTTCTGGATTGCAAAACGCCGGCAACAATCTTGAGGCCGTTAAACAGGAAGAAGGTCAACAGACACTTGGTCCAGCCTCTACTGGAACAGTCATCGAAGCTGCAGCTCAAACAGAAGGTACTTCAACATCAAACTTAGGTGAAGACGTGGTTGGTGCAGCCGTCGTTAAAGCTGAGGTTGACCCTAAGAGTCCCGAAGCCGACACAACCGAAGCTGTCGCATCCGTCCATCCTGAGACCCAAAACTCAGGCCTTAGTGTAGAGCCAGTTGCAGTAGGATCCCAAGAAGCATCCGAACCAGCCTGTGCATCCGCTAAGCCTGAGGTCGTTGACACAACCGTTGTCGCGACAGATAACCCAGGTGTAAGTGTAGACTCAGCCCCCTTAGGAGCCCCAGAAGTTTCGAATCCAAAAGCTGAATCCACAGAGCCTGGGATCGCTGACACTTCCGTTGTCGCGACATCCAATACACTACTAGACACATCTGTTTTTGTTGCACCACCCACTAGTCCCAACTTAGTTGAGCCTGGTGTTGAACCCGTCCGTACTGGTCACTCTCCCTCCGCTCCATCTGCAGGTCCAAAACAACGCACTCGACAGAGGAGTTCACGCGGTGGGCAGACTACAAGAAACCAGGAAGCCACCGGGCCTGGTTTAGTGACCTAGATACCTTTAGGGATTGGTTGTATCAAAATACAGGTGGGAGGTCAGGCCGTGGTTTTTGGTTAGGCCGATATCTTTTGGACGGTGTTGACATTAACCAAAAGTGGCAAGTCGCTAATCATCAAGCCATAGCAGACTATCTGACCGTAACCCAGTGTTTAGTCCTTACGTTCAACTTGTGGCCTGAATACGAAAATTGGGCCCTTGCAAACGGCCTGGACAGGAGACGTGGTATTGGACACGGCCGTAACGCAGTTGAAAAGGGCGTACTACCCCCAAAGCGTATCATTAACTTGAACATTTTGGGTAGTGAATTCCCTCCTCAAGAAAGCTGGGATTACTATAATAGGTACGTAGGCCCGAACGCCCCTGCGAAGCCCAAAGCTCGGGCCGCTGCCCCGGCCTCGGCTGGTGGCGCGGCAGCTGCACGACCACCAGAGCCCAAAGAGCCGCCCAAAGCTGCATCGCCAAAGGCGCAGCAGCCGAAGGCACCAGCTTCTGGCTGGCAACCAACTTTGCGTGCTGCGGATCAAGTTGTACAGCAAGCCGAGTTTAGCAGTGTCCACACTTCATCATCCGTCCGTTCGTCGCCAAAGCAATCGCGAGGGGTCGTTGCTCCCAAAGAGCGCGACACAACAGTAGTTTCTTCTGAGGGTTCCGATATTGCTCCAACAACTGTAGCAGTCCCAAAAGTTCCCAAAGATAAACCTGTTGTTGCAAAGCTCTCGCCACCTCCACCAAAGCAGCCGCAAGGGGTCGCTGTTCCCAAAGAGCGCGACGCAACAGCCACTTCATCCGAGGGTTCCAGTAGTGCTCCAACAAGTGTAGTCACTCCGAAAGTTCCTAAGGTTGAGCCTGTTGCGAAGCCTTTGCAGCCGCCAAAACACCAGCAAGGGGTCGCCGTTCCCAAGGAACACGACACGACAGTGACCGCAGCCAAAGCATCCGGTAGTGCTCCACCAAGTGCAGCCGTGCCTGAAGCTCCAAAAGCTGATCCTGTTGTAAATCCCTTGCCAGAATTAAGTAAACCCAAAGGAGTCGTTGTTCCCGAAGAACACGACACATCAGCCACTGCGCAAGAGGTTTTAGATACTACCCAAATAATTGAAGTAGTCCCTAAGATTCCCAGTAGTCCAGCTGTTGTAAACCCTTTGTCTAAGGCTAAGCTCCCATCACCCCCATCATCACCACCACCTGTAGTCCCTTCTAATATCCCACCGCCGCCACAACATTCGCCGCCAACACCAGAAGAGCTCGCCGCGCGAGCTCCGGCTTTTGCCAAGGCGCGCGAGACAGTGGTAGGGAATCAGGAGGAAGAGGAGGAAAGTTTTGAGGTTGAAAGTGAGGAGGAGCCAGCACCTGTTGCCAAAACTGCATCTCCAAGGGAGAGGCACACCAAAAGAAATAGGTCCAACCCACCTTTGCCTGTTAATCTTTTGTCTAGAGAAGCCAGGGAGCAGATTGAGCTTGCTCGTGAACTCCGTGCAGCTGGTTATCCAGACACACGTGTGGATTCAGCAGGAACTTGGGTGCGGGTCGCCGGACCTTCGGTCGCGACAGCTGAGAGCATCCAGTTGCTCATCCAGTGGTAGTTCCTGGAACTGAGACTCAAGAAGTTGAGGGCACCGACCCTTACGAGTTGGAGGACGCCGCCTGGCAGAATCCATCCTTGAGTACTCGTCGGGTTGTGTTGGTCACCCCAAACTTACAGTCTTCGGACATTGTAAACTTGACCACACGTGATCCTGACACCGAGGAGGAAGGCACAGAAGACCCTGCGCTGGCATCACAAAGATTTCAAGAGACTGGTAGGAAGTTCATTGCAACGGCTAGTGCTGAGCCCATTGAAGCCGACCCAGTAACTTTTGGATCGCGACCACCTAAAGTGCCACCCCCAAAGAGGCAAAAGGTAACCATAAAAATAACCTCAAGGGATTATAAAGACCCAAAATCAGCAGCATCATCGCCAAAAGACACCTCAGAGTCCTCACCTAGGTTCCCACAGGACATTGTCCATCCGTGGAGAAAGCAAGAGGGTGCTGCGGCAGAATCCCCAAAATCTGCTGCCTGTGGGGTCGCTGCGGAATCCCGCGCGACAGGTGCCGTTGACAGGTCTAGATCCCCAAGAAATTTAACATCTACACCCTCTGAACCAGTCCAACATAGCTCATCACCTGTTAACCTAAGAGGTAGATACCCCATTAAAAGTGGTAAGGAGCCATTGAGACCCCCTCCACCGAAGAGGGCAAGTTCTCAGCCATTGTCATCAGCTACCGTAAAAAGGACTGCTAGGGAGGCTGTTGCTTCCGGCACACCTCAGGTCACTGTTGCAAAGGCCAAAACAAATAAGGCTCCCCCACCGGGT